GCACCAGACATCCCGACCCCGCGCACTTACGCTGAGGCGATGGCGGGTCCCTACTCCTCTCAGTGGCAGACAGCCATGGACGCAGAGATGGCTTCCTGGAAGTCCACAGGCACTTACGTCGACGAGGTTCCCCCACCTGGGGCGAACATCGTCAGTGGCATGTGGATTTTCAGGGTGAAGCGGCCACCGGGTTCTCCTCCTGTCTTCAAGGCGCGCTACGTGGCTCGAGGCTTCAGTCAGCGAGAGGGAGTTGACTTCTTTCAGACCTTCTCCCCCACCCCAAAGATGACCACTCTTCGGGTGCTGCTGCACATAGCCGCTCAGCGCGACTACGAGCTTCACTCACTTGACTTCAGCACTGCTTTCTTGCAGGGCAGCCTGCACGAGGAGATCTGGCTGCGCCGCCCTCCTGGCTTCACTGGGTCGGTTCCTCCTGGTACCCAGTGGAGGCTCCAGCGGCCGGTCTACGGTCTCCGCCAGGCACCGCGTGAGTGGCACGACACACTGAGGACGACACTTGCGGCTCTTGGGTTCGCTCCCTCTACTGCTGACCCGTCACTGTTTCTACACACAGACACCTCACTGCCGCCGTTCTACATCCTCGTGTACGTCGACGACTTGGTCTTTGCCACTGCTGACACCGCGGCACTCGCCCACGTGAAGTCGGAGCTGTAGAGGAGACACACGTGCACAGACCTGGGTGAACTGACAAGCTATCTTGGCTTGCGGATCACCCGGGACAGAGCACGGCGCACCATCACCTTGACTCAGTCACACATGGTGCAGCAGATCCTTCAGCGCTTCCGCTTCATGTACTCCTCGCCTCAGTCCACTCCTCTGCCTACCGGTCACTCGCTCTCAGCTCTGCCTTCGGATGAGTCCGTAGAGCCGAGTGGCCCGTATCCAGAGCTTGTGGGCTGCCTCATGTACCTGATGACCTGCACTCGACCTGACCTTGCATACCCTCTTAGCATCCTTGCACGCTATGTCGCTCCTGGCCGTCACAGGAAGGAGCACATGGATGCCGCTAAGAGGGTGTTGCGCTACTTGTGCAGTACATCGGGCATGGGGCTAGTGCTTGGAGGGCGAGACCGAGTTGTACTTACTGGACACTCAGACGCTTCTTGGGCGGACGACCAGGCTACTCAGCGGTCGTCTCAGGGTTACACCTTCAGCCTTGGCTCCGGCTCAGTTTCTTGGCGTTCTACACGCTCTTCTTCTGTTCTCAGCTCCAGTTGTGAGGCTGAGATCTACGCCACAGCCATGGCTGCCCAGGAGCTACGCTGGCTGACCTACCTGCTGACCGACTTGGGAGAGCGGCCTCGTTCTCCTCCAGTGCTGTACGTCGACAACCAGGCTGCCATTGCCTTGTGTGAGGAGCACAGACTGGAGCACAGAACGAAGCACATCGCCCTACGGTACTTCCTTGCTCGAGAGCTGCAGCAGCGTGGTCAGCTTCGTCTGCGTTACGTGGCCACTGAGGCCAACCTTGCTGATGTGTTCACCAAGGCGCTTCAGCCTTGTGACCATCAGCGTTTCTGTACTCTTCTAGGCCTTGTGCCTGCTGGACCTCACTTACTTACTTCTTGACTCTGCTTGTACTGTGATCTTTATATATATGCCTGCATGTTTACACTTGCTAGGTTGTGATCACTGTATCTCTTGTTATATTATCAACCTGCATGTGAACTGGTCTTGTGACCACTTGCTTGTGCTCGGAATTTGTGTGGTATCCTTGAGATCCACCCTGAGCTTGTTTTGCTTTGCTTTGACTGGTCTTGTGACCCTCTGGTTGTCTCCCACTTCGCCTATGGGGGTGTGTCAAACATTGTATGTTTATATTGTGTAGGCTATAGTGGGTTTAGCCTTAGAGGGTACACAAACTTAGGGTTTCATACTTGTACCCATCCTGCTTCCTTCTAGTTCATCCATTCTCGTTCTATTCTAGATTCTAACAGATGAAAGCTTTTTCGAATATCTGGCTCACACCGAGGATGACACGCCAACCTCCTTAGAGGCCACACCTGGGGCGGCCACGTGGCTTCCCCTCATGCGCAGTTACGACTGTTATTGTTTATGTATGCTTGCTATATCGGTGTACATTGCAATTACCTTTAAAAAAAAAGTTTTATATCGTTTTACCTTCGCCCGCCGAAGCAGGCCGCACGCAGGGCCAGGCGCGCGTCGCCCGCTCGCTGCATCCGCAGGCAGGCAATGGGGGAAGCTGGTCCCACACGCTGGTCACAGGAAGCCACATTGCGAGTCGCATCGCCGCGTCACACGGGGCGAATCGCATATTTCCCCAAATAACGAACTCTTCATCCTAAAAAACCCTTCAGAACAAAATTCAACCACGAAAAACCTTTTTGAAGCCCTCAGTAACCATCAGCTCCCACATCACCCGAGTTGTAGTGCCCCCACTGGGCTCAGGGAGTAGGTTGTTTGAGATCTTTGTGCAACGCTGCCCCAGCGCATCCTCGTTTTTCACTCCGCTCCGCCATTATTTGCACTCACGCATTCTTCCGCCCAACCAGGTGTCATGCGGAACCCCGGACCTGCTTAGTATAGCGGTCGCCGCGGTCGATTATTTGCATGAGAGAGAAGATTAAGGAGGACTGGGCCCGACGCGCCACGTAGGTTCCTCCTGTTGCGCGCTGGTTGTGGATAACTGAGGCTGAGTGTCGAGCACTATAGATCTTAGACACGCAAGCAATACACGCATTCCACTACAACTCTCAGACCCTCAGGGACTGCTTTAGGAACTTGTGGTCTTGCTACCAGTCTGGCGCCTTCCACTCTAGCACTCAGCAGCTCCATGTCCGTTTAGCATTACGCCTGCTACCAGCGTTTCGGTTAGAAGCCTCGTTGGTCCCACTCATACCGAGGCGTCGAGTTCTAAAACTTCTGTAATCTCCTTTTCTCGTAATTGCTCGTACCGCTCGCTTGGAAGGAGCGAAACTTGCCTTCATCCGTTTACGCGAGAGCCTCTATCTTGTGATTTTCCCGCTGGTGTTTTGAATTCCATTCTTTGACTTTCTTTTCGACGCGCAGTTCACTGTCAACACATTTAGACTACCTTCAGTCCCCCGCGGCTATCATGTACCACTCGAACTTCGAGTGGACGATCTTCGACGAAGATGGTCACCTGAATTCGTCGGTCCTCGTGCAAGCAGCTTCGGGAGATAAGCCCACGGTCAAGAAAGTCTCTCCCAAGGCTGCTACCGCACAGACAGCTGCGACCAAGCCTGCGCGGCTATCGAGGGACCTGACAGCGGCCGACGGCTGCGACGCGAGCGACACCTCGGCGACAATCACCCTGTCGGAGGCCGGCGATCTTTGCTGCGGTTGGAGTTGCGGCGGAAACGGCCAGCGCAAATGGCGGGCGAAGGAGAACTGGGTGGCGAACCTCCTCCCTCTCGAGCTCAGTAGCGCGATTGGCGGGGATGAAGCTTCGAAGAAGCAGGCGATGCTAGATGGTGAGGTTAAAGCGGGAGTTGTCGATCTGGACGTTATAACGAGCAACCTCGGGATTTACGAGCTCGCCGTGTCGTCGTCTCTTTGGGGCGACGTGTTTCGATATATAAGCTCGACCGATGGGGCTCCAAATAAGGCAACCAAAAAGTTGAATGCTGACGAATTCTCGCTGCTGGAGCGCGTATGGAATACCGCCACGTCAGCGGTCGCTATTGCGCGAGGAGATGAAACCAAGGCGAGCACCGGAGCCGAGACGGGAAAGACTAAAACGCGTAAGATCTTCTCCCTGCTACAGCCGCAGTATTACCTACCGCCGCAGCTGCCGGAGCATGCGGGAAGAAAAACTCTTATCCTGGATCTCGACGAGACGCTTATTCATTCCTATTTTTGCAAGGTGGACGAGGCGGACGCGCAATTCTACATCGATATATTCGGGCAGATGACGGACGTTTCCGTGCTGAAGCGGCCCGGAACAGACGCGTTTCTGGAAGCCATGGCTGCGAAATACGAGGTGGTGATTTTCACAGCTAGTATCCCGAACTACGCGAACGCGATTGTTGATTGGTTAGATCCCGAGGGGAGGTTGATTCACCACCGGTTGTACCGCGACTCGTGCACGTGGTGGCGTGGAGGGTACGTGAAAGATCTCGCTAAAGTGGGACGCGATTTACGGAACACGATTCTCGTGGATAACAGCCCGCACTCGTTCGCGTTTCAGACGAAAAACGGCGTTTGCGTGACGTCATACATTGACGAGGTTGAGGACGAGGAATTGACGGCGCTGACGGATCCGCTGCTGAAGTTGACGGAGGAGGACGGAGACGTGCGCGACTGGCTGTGGACGTGTTACGCGGCGCCGGCAGAAGAACCGTGAAGCACAAAAGTACGGGCTGATTTTTTTCGCCCACTTTAAGGCGCCTCGTCAATAAGCGTAAGGAGCGCCAGCCTCTGGCGCGACGCGCGGAGCCGTGATCATAAGCGGAGGGGCGAATGTGAAACAAGTGGGACTGGTGGGTTTGCTTGCCTGGCTGAACCTCAGCCTGTCGATGCCTAGAGGGCCTGAAGTGGGACCTTGCATTCGCATCGCAAGGTCCGTTGATTCTTTGGTTTTCCCCCACATTCCATTCGCTGATTTCGCACATCCCACGCCTCCGCCGAAATCTGTTCGCTAACATTTCGTTTCACTTTTCGCTAGTCTGGTCAACTCTGCTGAAATGCTTGTTATGGCAACGTGCTTGTTGTAAACTGCATATAATGTATCTGCTTTCCAAACCATCCTCAGCTGGATTATAACTGGACAGAAATAGGACACTGGATGATAAAGAGTGCGACTGAATTTGTGAATCTGTGAAGTGTAAGCGCTGCCAATGGCCAACCTGCACAGCTAGTGTCCTATCATGGAGAGTGAGCTGAGCAGGTAGGTGGTAAATAAGGCGGCAAGGAGGGAAAAAAGCATGACACATATGCCACGTTAATACAAATGAAATGAAACTAAGCCTGATAAAATATCAATAGGTTCACCCTCTCTACAGCCGAAGATCCAAGTCCAGCCCACCATGGCCGGGAAAAAACACGGCAGAAGTGCAAGCTTCTGCCAGCATGAGCTCTTGCGGGTCATCCTTCTCAAGGTGCGATATACTGTTGCCAAACAAACTGTGATGTTGCACTTGGTGTGGCCTGCTGCTGCTCCCCTCCCATCCTGTGTGTTGCGTGCATGGCGGAAACAAGTTACCACCTGCCTCACTTTCATCCCCTTTACCTGCTAACTCAGTAAGCTTGCATTCCCCTACATCTCCCTTTCTTTTTGAAGTATTGCTTGCCTGCTCCATTCCGTCCCCAGAATTTGATTCCAGCAGCAACTTTTCCAGAGAAGAGTCTGCCTTCTCTCCTTGCCAATGTTTTCGCATATGTCCACCAAGCGCCTGACCGGAGGAAAAACTTTTGTTGCAGACCCCGCAAACGCGCGATTTCTGCACCTTGCTGACACGGCTCCTGACTGATTGAGGCGACCCAAAAATTGTTGGAGAGATCTTGCCTGGGAAGGGCTGAGCCTCGTCTCCTTTATTAAGCGATCCGTTATTAGACACGGCGGAGTCAGCACCAACTCCGTTGCTTCCAGGAGATGCGGCATGGCTGGGAGCAGCAATCCGCGAAGCTGCAACCGCGGGCGTGCTTGGCGCAGATTTGTACGTAGCGGCAACAGGAGTAGCACCAGGAGGCGTAGCATTCCATGCAAACGGCTTGGCGCCGCCACTGCCGCCCGACGCTGCTGAGTCAGCAGCGCGCTGTTGAGTGCCACAGTGGCGCTTGTCCTCGGCCTCATCCAAAAAGAGATTGTTTAAATCCAGAGACCGTTTCTTGTGCTGTCGTGACAGCCATCCATCCTGCTGCTCTTGTTTCTCTTGCTGATGTTCCATGGCATTGCGGTGGTCGTTCAGAAACAAATGTCCAGCTGATGGAGCGACAACGCGACTCGAGTTGTGTGACAGTAGCGAGGCCGCGGGCGGCGGAGTAAAGACCGCTTGGGATACAGCCGAGAACAGGGATGGGAACTGGGGCGGAGCCGCGCCGGTAGTAACGGGGAGACCCTGCGCGCAAGTTGACTGAGGCGCAGCAACGGCGCACGCTGACTGGGGCGATGCAGCAACGGAAAGAAACCGGGCGCAAGTTCCCGCGGCTTGCGTGGCGCGTGATAGTAACGGATTGTAAGACCGTGGCGCGTCCGGGGGCGGCGGCACCAGCTGCTGCGTGCGCGGCGCACACCATGCGGGCGGCGCAGACTCCCCCGTCACTCCCGCCGCCCCTACTTGCGGGGATGGCGCCGCGAGCAACGGCTGCGCCTGCACATCCTGTGGACCCGGAAAAAGTGCGGGGTTATGCGAACCTAATCCAGGATTTTGTCGCGGATTCACAGCGTCCCCAACGCGGCGTTCCGCCGATGGCGGCGCGTACCCACCGGCGGCGGCGGTGGCGATGAGTTGAAACCCGCCTCGTGTCATCTGAGTCATCATGATGATCGGGTTGCTCCTCTGAGTCAGCAACGACGACACGGGATACACGCGCGGGCCGTGGCTTGACTGACGTGGCGTCGTCGAGGGATTTTCGGCGGAAGCGGCGCCGATACGTCCAAGCTTCCCCTGTTCCGAGAGTCTCGCGCCGGCGCGGTCGGCGCCGCAGGCGGTGTCGCATGGATCGTTTTCGACAATGGGCATCTCCCATTGAAGCGACTTCGAGCCGTCGTTCCGGCCCTGTTTTCCGAAAAGGAACTCCGCGAGACTCCCGCCGCCGAATGCGGAGGATCGTCCGTCGTCAATGCCGCTACTAGAAGCTGACGACGGCGAGATCGGCGCGCTTTTCTGAAATACGAAGGGCGAGCGAATATTCATCGCGTCTATCGAAGGCGGAGGTTTACCACACGGCGAGCGATGTCCTTAGCGGCAAACACGCGCTCGAAATGTGCAAGTTGAGGTACAGCCTGAAGTGATGATCTGATCATTGTGCTGTGACAGCTATCGGTGGCAGAGGCTTTCCTTGCTAACTAAGGAAAATGCGAAAAACGAACGTGAAGGAATGATGCAAGGACGAATTACTGTGATCGATCTGCTTGGATTCGATGATTGGGTTGGGTTGGTACGGGACAGATGTGGGGGTGGGGGATGTGAGATTGCGGTGGGGGCAATACACGTATGCAATTTCCGCCTTTGCTGAGCAAAGGAGGGGATGGGTTTCGTTTGCAATTTCCGCCTTTGCTGACGCCTCGACGCGACGCGCGGAGCGGTGAAGAGGGAAGCAGCAGACGCTCGCTTCGGATTGGCCGTCTCCCCCTTTTTCGCGCGAACCATTGCTTCGGGTTGGTTTGTCTGGGCAAGGGGAAGATGACAGAAGGGAGAGTGGGGGTGGGGAGGAGTTGGGAAGTGAGGGGTGCGTGCGGCCCGACACAGTATGGATTCACTGGATGTGTGTGTGCGCGCGCCTCAGCGAGGATTCTCGATGGATTGCATGGCCCACAGTAAATCAATCAAGCGCGTGATTTGCGAAGGGGAGGGTGGCCCATTCTGTAACGAGTACACCGGGGCATGGCCAAGCACGAATTGCGAGGACTTGTGCCCGCAATAGTGTTCATCTACAGCTGATGCTCACCCCATGCACGCGAATTTGCCTTGCGCCGATGGATGCGCTGCACCCGAGGTTGTTTCCCCAGCCTTATGCACCTACATTACAAGCGCGTCGCGTGGTTATCAACCAATAGTAACGAACAGACCAAAGTCAAACTAGGTACAGACCGAAGTCAAGCAGAAGAGACTGAAGTCAAACTAGGTTACAGATCTTGTTTATAAGCACATGCGAATCCTTTTTAGCTAGCTGCGAATTGACGAAACTTATGCGAAATGCTCGTGACAGCTTATACGCCCCCTTCATAAGGCAACCGGGAGGGGCTCAAACAGGCATCAGGTGTATACGCTGCGTGGGGATCACGGCGACAGGTGTTACGGATTTCGTTTAGGTCGACAGGTGTTAGGTCGTAGGGATGTGGGTGGGGGGATGGGATGGAACCACTCCGTCGGAATTGTGTGGCATGGCGTGTGGAGGTGAAGTGATGTGGAAGGAAGCTCATGGTTGGCCAATTACTGCAGCAAAAACTTGGCCTACACACTTTGGAACTGTCAGGCTGTTTCGCTATCACGGATCGTGTGGTGTACGGTCGCTGAGCTGTCTCAAAGTTCGCCAACCACTGACGGCTTGCTGAACTGGCACTTCCACGTCAAACTTGGAAGCCACCCCGTTCCACCTCATTGCATACGCTTCCTGGTGCTGCTCCGCGTCTTCGGTGATTTGCTTGCTGGCACGCTCAAGTCCAGCAATCCATTCTCAATGGTCGTATGCAACTGTGTGTGGTGAATGCGATAAATGAGCCAAGAAATACACGTGATTTGGACTCGTGCACAGCTTGATTAGACGTGGCATGTTAATTAATCTAGTACAGTTTAGCCCCACAATTCTGACAAGTGCTTGCCTTTGTCCTAGAACCGCGACAGCCACTGTACAAGACGAGCAGTAACCGCGACATACAGTACGTGTACAGTACGCTTTTGAGGTACAGTACTGTACCTCAAAAGCGTGCGAGGTACAGTACAAATCCCTCCCCCAGTGTGATGTCTGACAGCTGGGCAGAATGTGCAGATTTGGTTCGCTTGAACTTACAACGAGGAAACAGCTGTTCCATGATGTTGACATCCAAGAGTGCATTCTACACTTGTGCAATATACGGCCTCAAGCACAAAGGGAATGCTTTGCACTAACATTTTTGACATGATGAAGGTACGGTAGATGTTCATGAAGCTTGATTGCGATAGGGTCAGATTGCCATGTATTTCCCCCAAAACATGGCAGAAATATTAACATATTTCCTCCATGATTCCAATTTTCTAGTGGACCCCTCATTCGCAAACACTTATTTCAACATTTCGTCGGCCGAGGAGTTCTGAGCCGGCAAAAATGGGGAATGCAAGTCCGGGTATTGGTATCAGCCCTTCCGGCGTATCTATGGTCGAACCAGATAGAAGGTACAGGGGCAAGAGAGAGTGGGCAAAGCATATGGTGTGAGCTCTTTGGAGCGTAGCCTTTTAAAGTCCGTGTAAATGAAAATTGCTCCTTAAGGTCAGATGAACGAATTAGTAAGAAGTTGGTAACACACAAAATCTCGATGAGTCAAGCATTATCGAATTTCTTGCTGTGCCCGTTTTGGCGGGAAATCCCGCCAAAACGGCTCCTCATTCGTTCCCATTTTCTCGAAAGCCACGGCCGAGACCCTTTGTATGAGGTGAGCTGCACGAGACTACAGCATGGAGGGAGCACGTACACCGTCGTGAACCGAATTCTCACTATTTTGGATCTTTCTCCCAAAGAAAATTCCTCAACCGCTCACATAATCTAAACCGTCGATCACAGGTAGCAGGCTGCGCCGTCACCATATTGACGGCGGTCGTCTGTTCCCTACACTGATCTCAAAAACTTCTGGAGACTGCCCCCACGCGTCAATCTCCATAGGCATTGGGATCACATGTATCGAGAAGAGTTTTTCACCCAACTGCTTCCACCTCGCTTCTTCCCCCCAACTACCACCAGTGTTCCACGGCCCACCATTCTCGAAGCTCCCTCCCAAATTTGCCCGAACCCAGCCCTTTCCACGAGCCACCACCACTTTCTTCCGCATCTTCCCCTTGAGCTCGTCCGTGCTCAGCTCCTCACTTCTCCCCTTGCTCGCATTCACTCTCCCGAACCTCTTGCTCGCGTCGCATTTTGTTTCACAAAACGAGGAGACTGACAGCCTCACCCTCAGTTTCCCCTGGATAGTCTTTTTTCCTTGAAGCGAGCTTCCTTCACGCGTAGGAACCACTGAGTCACGCTACTTCAGAAATACTGCTGTCTCTTTGCTTGGTGCTTTGCAGCGGGGCCCTTAGCAACCCTCAGTAGGACCTTTGCGACGCAGGACCTTACCACGTATGGGAAAGTTCAGCTGCATGTTAACGCCTATTCAGTAGCGTCCTGAATGTGAGCACGTTGATGCTCTGATACTCATCGGCATGCGCACACCATAGACCCCAGTTTTCAATCTGAGGCACGGAAAGCAGCATGAGTCGAATACGCAAACGAAACCCTGTCTTCGGCATCGCGGGATTGGCTGTTGCGTTCCTACTCCTCCTACCGCTCTTGCCGTCAAAAGGTAATTATTTTACGTCGTCAGTTGCCTTTTGGGCGGCTGTTAAGGTAATTTCCCGTCAAATTATACGATGTTGGCATACCGAGTCTCAGCTCCTGGAAGTGATGTCAGCTTCTCTCGCTGTAGTTACTCATGCACGCTACTAGCCCTTCGTTGTGGCTGGACTATTGCATTTTAGGCAATTCCGTGTTGCGCTACGGGCTCACAGTATCAGCTCCTCTGGTATACGTATCTGTGTGTGTCTAACCAGTTTCCTTATCCTCCTCCTTTTCTTCGTAATTTTTTCTTCGTTCGCAGCATTCAATAGTCGTGTTGATGAGGACGGTGTTCGCGCTCGTTTTCATTGGCATCAACAACACCATCGCGAAGCGGCCCGGTTACCATCTAGTGGCGACAGCAGCACTTTCGCAAATACACGGAGCTCGACATTCAGCCCGGGCTCTTCGTCTAGTAGTGCTGACTCACTGACTGATTCCGACAGTCTGACTGATTCTTATAACCCAATTCACTTAGACAAATTGACTGACCCTACAATTGGGACTGATTCCGTCAGTCCAACCGATACGCCAGCTAATTATGATGACGATGACGATTTCGATGACGATGACGCCTTACTCGCCGCTAATCCCGCCACCGCTTTCGACGATGACTTTGGCTCCACCTCGTTTCAGTCACGTCTCGCATACACACAATCAGCAGAATTTAAGTCCAGACCAGATACGCTCTTCCTAAGTTCGCGAGACGAGTACTCATCCTCCTCCTCTTCCTCACCTCGCTCGTCCTTCTCGTCTTCCCCTCACTCGTCTTCCTCCCTCCGTTCCTCCGTCTCCCTCTCCAATCCCTCGCAACCCCCCTCGCGTTTCGCCTCCCCCCTCCCAAACCCGTCACGACCTTCGCCCGCGTCTTTTCGTAACAAAAGCCCCGCAAGGTCCTGGAATCTTCCAAAAAATAGAAATCCAATCAGCATCAGCAATAGAATAGGAACCCAGCGAGCGTGGGCTCCTGCAGCTACACCCGAGTACATACACCCTAGCGAGGTATCCCTTAACGCGGCTTTAGCTTTCGAGAGGCAGAGGGCGATTCGGCAGGAGCAGCGTAGGCGGCAGCAGCAGGTGACGGGCCCGTGCAGCCCGCTGGAAACGGCGAAGGTGATACGGATTAAGTCGTACGCGGACGTCGCGAAGCGATTAAATTTCGCGCCGACGCAGACGGTGATGCTGGTGCTGCCTCCCCCCGGGTTTATCACGAATACGGGTTTGCTGTTCGATGGGAACTACTCATGCACGATCCTGCGAAGCAAGAAGCCTGCACAGAGAAGGTAGGGTGGGTTCTCATAATGTTTTTCTTCCTTGGAAGATTCTCGAGAGTGATTACAACGTAGGGCGGACTCTCAGCATGACTCTCCTCCTGACTCATTCCACACGCTCCCTGCCTCGTTACCCTGTTACCCCATTACCCACCCCGTTACCCATCCCGTTACTCCCACACTCTCATCCCATCCACTGCAGCTACATCAAGCTCACCCACGCCATGCAGCCCGTTTTGCGCATCTGGAATACGAACAACGTGATCGTCATGGACGTTAACTTCTACCTGCCCGTCAAGTCCAGCTCGCGCCTCTGCTCCTTCACGGAAGTGGGCAAGGGCATGCTGTGCCCCGCCATCCACATCTGGCGCAGCTACGGCGTGCAGGTGGCCAAGGTTAGTTTCGGCTCTCTTTTGAGATGCTAATCTCAGAAGCCCAGGTCTGCGAGCGCAATGAAGTGGGCAAGGGCATGCTGTGCCCCGCCATCCACATCTGGCGGAGTTACGGCGTGCAAGTCGCGAAGGTGAGCCTTCATATGAGGCGTCTTGGGAGCATGCATGCATGTTAGGTCCAGCCCGCGCCTCTGCTCCCCACGGGAGTGGGCAAGGGAATGCCGTGCCCCGCTATCCACATCTGGCGCAGCTACGGCATCCAGGTGGTCAAGGTAAACGATCGTCACCAGCACGTATCACTTTGTGAACTCGCCCCCACACCCCCCCTCTCCCCTCCTTCCCATCCGCCCTTCCCTCCGCCCTCGCTTCCCCCTTCTACCTCTCCCCTCTCTCCACCCCCCCGTTCTCCCCAGGGCGAGGTGTTTGGGCGCATAGATGTGTTTCGCAGCATGCAAGCGCGGGTGGATGGCATGAGCGTCACCGGCACCTACCGCTTTGTCAACTCACCCGGGGTTATTCGCATCGGGGAAAGCGGATACGGGCCAGAGCTGGTGCGGGCAAACATTGTCATCTCTAACAACGAGGCATACGGTGAGTGGCGTGGCTGGGTGTGTTGAGTGAGGGTGTGGGTGTGCCTCCTTCCTGGCATAGGAGAGAGCGGGTATGGCCCAGAGCTGGTGCGGGCAAACATTGTCATCTCCAACAACGAAGCATATGGTGAGTGGCACGGGTGTGGGTTGATGGCATGAGTGGCGCGGGTAGATGGCATGAGTGTCACTGGCACCTACTGCTTTGTCAACTCTCCAGGGGTCATTCGCATTGGGGAGAGCGGGTATGGCCCAGAGCTGGTGCGGGCGAACATTGTGATCTCTAACAACGAGGCATATGGTGAGTGGTACAGTGTGGTGTGGTGTGGTGTGGTGTGGTGTGGTGTGGTGTTGTGTGTTGTGCATCCCACACCTTTGGCTTCGCGGGCATCCGATGCGGCGCGCGCGTGCACTTTGCTTGTGAGTCACCTCAAAAGCACGCGGCGCAAACATGCAGTCGTCGTCCCTCTCACTCCTCCCATTATTTTGTCTCGCTCCCCCCTCGCTTTTCCTCCATCCTCTCTTGCTTACTTACAGGTGTGTGGACACCCCCATTGTGATGCACTGGGGTGCGGTGGACACGACAGTGATCAACAATTTCTCGCACGACTTTAGGTGTGGCTTCAAACCTCACCCGCTTACCCACCTGCCGGTTCTCATTCTCCCCCCTTGCCGTTTCCCCTCCTTCAGGCGTGGACACGCCTATTGTGATGCACTGGGGGGCGGGTGGGCGTGACAGTGATCAACAATTTTGTGCATGGCTTTGGGTTTGTCCACTCACCCGCTTACCCACCTGCCGGTTCTCCTTCTCCCCCCCTTGCCGTTTCCTCTCCTTCCAGGCGTGGACACGCCTATTGTGATGCACTGGGGGGCGGGTGGGCGTGACAGTGATCAACAATTTCGTGCATGGCTTTGGGTTTGTCCACTCACCCGCTTACCCACCTGCCGGTTCTCCTTCTCCCCCCCTTGCCGTTTCCTCTCCTTCCAGGCGTGGACACGCCCATCGTGATGCACTAGGGGGCGGTGGGCGTGACAGTGATCAACAATTTCGTGCATGGCTTTGGGTTTGTCCACTCACCCGCTTACCCACCTGCCGGTTCTCCTTCTCCCCCCCTTGCCGTTTCCTCTCCTTCCAGGCGTGGACACGCCCATCGTGATGCACTAGGGGGCGGTGGGCGTGACAGTGATCAACAATTTCGTGCATGGCTTTGGGTTTGTCCACTCACCCGCTTACCCACCTGCCGGTTCTCCTTCTCCCCCCCTTGCCGTTTCCTCTCCTTCCAGGCGTGGACACGCCCATCGTGATGCACTAGGGGGCGGTGGGCGTGACAGTGATCAACAATTTTGTGCATGGCTTTGGGTTTGTCCACTCACCCGCTTACCCACCTGCCGGTTCTCCTTCTCCCCCCCTTGCCGTTTCCTCTCCTTCCAGGCGTGGACACGCCTATTGTGATGCACTGGGGGGCGGGTGGGCGTGACAGTGATCAACAATTTCGTGCATGGCTTTGGGTTTGTCCACTCACCCGCTTACCCACCTGCCGGTTCTCCTTCTCCCCCCCTTGCCGTTTCCTCTCCTTCCAGGCGTGGACACGCCCATCGTGATGCACTAGGGGGCGGTGGGCGTGACAGTGATCAACAATTTCGTGCATGGCTTTGGGTTTGTCCACTCACCCGCTTACCCACCTGCCGGTTCTCCTTCTCCCCCCCTTGCCGTTTCCTCTCCTTCCAGGCGTGGACACGCCCATCGTGATGCACTAGGGGGCGGTGGGCGTGACAGTGATCAACAATTTTGTGCATGGCTTTGGGTTTGTCCACTCACCCGCTTACCCACCTGCCGGTTCTCCTTCTCCCCCCCTTGCCGTTTCCTCTCCTTCCAGGCGTGGACACGCCCATCGTGATGCACTAGGGGGCGGTGGGCGTGACAGTGATCAACAATTTCGTGCACGACTTTGGGTTTGCCTCACACACACCTCCCTGTTCCTCCCACCTTCTTTACAGGTGTGGACACCCCCATCGTGATGCACTGGGGGGCGGTGGGCGTGACAGTGGTCAACAACTTCGTGCATGACTTTGGGTTTGCGGGTATCCGGTGCGGCGCGGACGTGCACTTTGCAGGAGACTGCATGCTGAGCAACATCTCCAACAACATCGTTTACAACTGGCGCCGAAATTCGTCAGGGGATGTGGATTCAGCAGGGATCTACTACTGCACGCACTGGTTCAGCCCAGGTTAGTTCAGATTGGGAAGGTGGAGGCAGTGAGTGGAGTGGGTTAGGGGCGAGTGCATGCTGAGCAACATCTTGAACAGCATCGTGTACAACTAGTGGCGGAATTCGTCAGGGGATGTGGATTCGGCAGCAATTGACTACTGCACGCACTGGTTCAGCCCTGGTAAGAGTTGGTAATGACGTCGAGGGAGGGCCGGGCTTGGGAGAGTGGTTGGGAGAGAGGGATGCAGTGAATGGAGTGAGAGAGAGGGGCGATTGCATGCTGAGCAACATCTCCAACGACTGTGTGTACAAGTGGCGCCGAAATTCGTCAGCGGATGTGGATTCAGCAGGGATCTACTACTGCACGCGCTGGTTCAGCCCTGGTGGGTGGTATTGGAGGGTTGGGCCGTTGGGAAAGGGGAGACAGCGAGTAGAGTGAGAGAGGGAGGCGACTGCATGCTGAGCAACATCTCGAACAACATTGTGTACAACTGGCGGCGGAATTGCTAGTACCTTGACTATGGCACATCGGGCAATGTGCTCCTGATCCAACTCCCTCAACCCCTTCTTCCCCTTCTTCCCCTTGTTAACCCCTTCGAATCCTTCACTCGTCCGCATTGCAGGCAACGTGGCAGAGTGCAACTACGTGGCAGGGCGCGACCACTGCTACTACCTGGATTACGACACGTCAGGCACTGTGATCATGCTGCTCCTCCTGTGCACACCCCTCATGCCCCCACTTCCGCCCTTTCCAACATCTTCCAGGCAACGTGGCAGAATGTAACTACGTGGCGGGGGGCGACCACTGCTACTACCTGGACTACGGCACATCGGGTGTTGTGCTCCTGCCCCTCGACTCAACCCCGTCAATCCCTTCACTCCTCTTCATATCCCCTTACATTACAGGGAATGTGGCAGAGTGCAACTACGTGGCGGGGGGCGACCACTGCTACTACCTGGACCACGACACATCGGGCTTTGTTCTCCTCCTGCTTCTGACCCAACTCCTTCAAACCCGTCATTCCCCTTCATCCACATTGCAGGCAACGTGGCAGAGTGCAACTACGTGGCAGGGGGCGACCACTGCTACTACCTGGACTATGACACATCGGGTGTTGTGATACGCGGGGGTGCGTGCATCAACACGTACGATGGGATTAAAGTCAACAACGGCAAAAAGTAAGTACGAGTAGGTGTAAGAGAGCTGTAGGTGTAGGTGATATTGTGATGCTGTTGTGTGATCAATGGGGGTGCGTGCATCAACACGTACGATGGCATCAAAGTCAACAACGGCAAGAAGTAAGTGCGCGAACTGTCCTCCTCCCTCTCTCCCCCCCTCTCTCTGATTGACTCTGCTATTCAGCAAATATAGCACATCGCCTTGAAGAACGTGGAGGGCATGCCGGGCTGGTGCACGTGCTTCACTCCACTTCTCAAACACCACTCCTCTCTCCCCACTCCTCCCTGTCCCTTGCTGGACCAGCGACGTGATAAGGCACATCATCCTGAAGGACGTGGAGGGCATGCCGGGCCGCTAACAATCCCACCTGTCTTTCTGGCCCTTTCCCTTCCCCACGCCCCCCTCGAATCGCTCTGCTATCCAGCAACGTGATAAAGCACATCATCTTGAAGAACGTGGAGGGCATGCCCGGCTGGTGCAAGTCTAATTATCCATCTTTTCATCCTTCCCCCTCTCCCTTCCTCTGTCTCCCTTCTACTTCATCTGTTCCCCAGCAACGTAATAAAGCACATCATCTTGAAGAACGTGGAGGGCATGCCCGGCTGGTGCACGTGCTTCACACCCACCGTCAACAACTGCCGCAAGGACCCCGGCACGTACTGGGAGAACATGCGGCTAAAGTACTATGACACGGACCTGTTCCGCTCGGTGAGTTGCCCTTGTGTGTTTTCTAGCAAACAACCGGGATATTGATCAAGCAACCAAGCAGGCTCGTACTGGGAGAACACGCGCCTCAAATACTATGACACGGACCTGTTTCGCTGCTCCGGCCCTGGTGGCCCAGCGTGTGTAGAGACACGTCCATCAACAGTGTCAGCTGCAACCCAACCATCCATGTTCTTCTCCCTCCTTCCCTTTTCTTCTCCCTCCCTCCCTTTTCTTTCCCTCTGCCCCTCCCTTACACCAGCTCTGGCCCTGGTGGCCCAGCGTGTGTAAAGCCGCATCCATCAACGGTGTCAGCTGTAACCCTAATCCTCCCTTTTCTTTCTCTCTGCCTTTCCCCTCACCAGCTCTGGCCCTGGTGGCCCAGCGTGTGCAAAGCCACATCCATCAACGGTGTCAGCTGCAATCCTCCTGGTTCCATGGGGGCTTACTTGACTGGCAACTGCAGCGGGCTCGCCACTGATAATTACCTCGACCTTGTCGTGGTAAACATGACAAAGAGGGAGCTCGGATACAAATACTGCGAGAAGATCCCGGTGATGCCGAAGTTTAATACGCATAAGATGATTAATATCACGACGAGTTCGCTGAAAGTGCTGCGGAAGATGGGGTTTCGGAACTACAAGCGACACGACCTGGCGATTGAGCCGTGGTCCCCCATTTATAAATGGCGCCCGCAATTCAAGAGTTGCCGGAAGGGTTTGGCGGGTATGAAGGTGATCACCAGGGAGGAGTATAAGAAGGCGTTTAATATTCCAAAGCCGGACTATTTTGATTTTGTTTTGGCGATGAACTTGACGCATGTTCATGACAGGTCATTATTTTGAGCTGCTAACCTGTTTGATTTATGTATTGACAACTTTATACTTATATGTATACCCGTATAGTGTGGATTACCGTATATGTAAAATTGTCCATTATATATGTGAATCATATTTGCCAGAAATGTGTTCCCAACGATAACGCGTCAGTGTGACAGAACAGCGCTGAAGCCCATGCCAGTTTAGTCTAGGTAGGTGCCACGTGGATCAGTCTAGCTCTGCAGCGAAATTTGACCCGAGTGATTATATAGAAGATTGCGGCAACGGCGGAAGCTCCGAGTGACGCCAAGTTTCCTCGCGGCGAATTTACTCCTTCCAGATTTCTGTCAGGATCGCGGCAACGGCTCGGTGTGAAGGAGCGGGAGATGGTGCTCTGGTGTTGTCTCAGCCTCGCGCTGATCATTGACGGATTCTGACAGCTGAGTTGGAGGAGACATTTTCTAGAATGAAAGGCGGACGGAAGCGTGCTAGATGCTTGGCGTAGACTGATGATTCGGTTAGCAGAAGCTTATCCCGAGCAATTCTGTTCATAGAAGCACACAGAGGATTTCGGTTCGTGCAAGCTTAAACCGAGGGATTTTCAGCTACTATGGGGAGGAAGGGAGGAGGCCCAGTGAAGGTTGGCAAGGGCGTTAAGGCGGCCAAAAGCCGTGGAGGAAGCAGCGGAAGAAACGGCGGAGAAGGCGGAGAGGCAGCGAAGAACAGTGATGCGGGGGAGGTAAGGAAGCTTAGGAGAGACGGGATGGGTGCAGAGAGGAAGGCGAGGAAGTCAAGGCTGGATTGTGATTCTTATCTGTTATTGTGCAGCTTCCTTAATGTATCTGTTACTTATCTGTTAATGTGCAGCTTCCTTATAGCTTACTCTTAGCCTCCTCAGACCTCCCTCACCGTTCTGCCTCCTTATAGCGTTCCAATAGCTTCCGTTGCAGCCTTCTTGGAGCATCCTTCTACTATGCTGTTATTCTCTCTTCCTCTTCTTTCCACCCCACTTGTCCAGGCCTCAAGCACAGAGGCAGGCAGCAAAGACGGCAAGGGAAAGAAAGGCAGAGGGAACGCTAAGGGGAAGAAGGGGAGAGGCACGTACAAGGGGGGAGGCGGAGGCGTGTGGGAGCAGCTGAGGGCGTTGGGGTTGTGCATCAGGGAAGTCAGTGCAGACGGAAACTGCTTCTTCAGGTGATCCTTTTCTCCTGACTTCACTTCAGTGCTCCTTTCAGTGCTAAAATCTCGTTTCCCCTTCCCTCCCGCCTCTCACTCCCACCCAACCTTCTACTGTAAAAGTCCAATAAAGCGTATGCGCCTCATTTATCCGTTTCCTTGTCTCTTTCCAACTTCGTCGTGCAACCCCAGAGCAGTGTCGGATCATGTGTTTGGGAACCAGGCCGAGCACGTGGAGCTGAGACATGCTCAGACAACAAGTTAATGCCTCTCGTGTCTATTCTCCTATCTCTCTCCCCCCACTGTTGCTCTCTGGTAATCCCAGAGCAGTGTCGGATCATGTGTTTGGGAACCAGTCAAAGCATGTGGAGCTGAGGCACCAAGTGGTTGACTACATTGAGGTATGGGGTGAGTCATGTTTGCATGTCCAGTCCAGTCGCTTGTAGAGGGAGCTTTTGCTATGTCTGTAAACTTGATGGCCCAACGATCATGTGTTTGGGAACCAGTCAAAGCATGTGGAATGGAATTGAGGCAACAAGTGGTCGACTACATTGAGGTAAAGGAGGAGTGGATGGTTTCTGTGCCACCTGTGCGTACAATCCAATCATTTCTGAAACGAGGCTCACATTACCCCGCCCGTGTAGAGGAAGACATGGGCTTTAAGGAGCACTGCAGCAGCATGCCATGCGTCTCTCCCTCCCTACCTCTCCCCTACCCGTTCCTGCCCCTCCCTACCCCTTCCTGCCCCTCCCTACCCCTTCTTAAACCAATGCCAGGCACACGAGGCTGACTTTGCCCCCTTTGTGGAGGACGACATGGGCTTTAAGGAGTACTGCAGCAGCATGCCTTGTGTCTCTCCGTCCCTACCCCTCCCTACCCCCCCCCCCCCCCCCCCCCCCCTACTCCCTCCATGCCAGGCACACGAGGCTGACTTTGCCCCCTTTGTGGAGGACGACATGGGCTTTAAGGAGTACTGCAGCAGCATGCGCGAGGACGGCACGTGGGGGGGCCACATGGAATTGCAGGCTGTATCGCTGCTGCTGAGAAGAAACGTGTGCATTCACCAGGTAAATCTCTCTTTAAACCTTAGGGAGGATGGCATGTGTGGGGTACGATGGCATTTGGGGGGGACACATGGAGCTGCAGGCTGTATCGCTGCTGCTGAAACGAAACGTGTGCATTCACCAGGTGGGTCGATTTTGAGAATTATTAGAGCACATGGCACGTGGGGGGGTCACATGGAGCTCCAGGCTGTTTCGCTGCTGCTGAAATGAAAGGTGTGCATTCACCAGGTGAGGTGCTGTGCTTTAGACGATGATTGAAAGGGGGAGGGGTGGAGGGCGCGTGTGGCATGTGTGGGGGACACATGGAGCTGCAGGCTGTTTCGCTGCTGCTGAAACGAAACGTGTGCATTCACCAGGTGGGTCGATTAAGAGAATTCTCAAGAAAGAAAGAGGCGGTGGAGAATTCCAGGCTGTTTCGTTGCTGCTGAAAAGAAACGTGTGCTTTCACCAGGTGATTGGGACATGGTTACATTAGGTTAGATCTGCATCAGGCCAGACTAGCTCACATTTGATGAATCGGGTGAAACTCCGACCCACATTTCATTGTATGCTTCAGGTGAGACCCTGACTCACGTTGCATGATGGTTCGAGACCCTTCCAACCATGGTTCGTTTCACCCATTGTTTTTAGAGCACTCATCAATGTTGTTTGTTGTTGCACCCATCATTCCATCGCACACTCATGAATCCTGTGTGATCTGTCCTCGTATCCACCTCTTCAGTTGCAGCAGCACTGCCAGAAACAATATGTAGATGGCTAAAGATCTCTCACATGACTTCACTTGTGTGTGTTCTCAACTCCGTCTTTCCAGTTGCAGCAGCCGCGGTGGAACATTATCAGCCAGGTACTTCCGTTTGACGATGCCGGCACTCCCACCATACCATCCACCTGTGGTGGGTCTTGTCATTCAAGACACCAAAAATTGCTACAGATCCCTCACATGACTTCTCTTGTGTGTCTCCTCAACTCCCGTCTTTCCAGTTGCAGCAGCCGCGGTGGAACATTGTCAACTTTGACGATGCTAGCACTCCCACCATCCACCTGTGAGCCACCATCCACCTGTGAGCCATCACAACACCAACCCATTTGTCATTTTTCTCCTCACCGTCACCTTTCAACCATTCAATATCTCTTTCTTTTCTACTATTTGGTGTTCTCATTTTCCCCTTTTGTATTCTTCCACTCCACATCTCTCGTTTTACCTCTGGCTCCAAAAGTTCTTAGCAGCTCTTACCACAGTGGGTTGCGTTAGCGTGTGGATTGAGAGGGATGTTGGGTGTCTGAAATGCAACCATGGTGCTAATGCTGATGCTGATGCTGATGCTGATGCTGATGCGCTGATGCTGATGCTGATGCTGATGCTGATGCGCTGATGCTGATGCTGATGCTGATGCGCTGATGCTGATGCTGATGCTGATGCTGATGCGCTGATGCTGATGCGCTGATGCTGATGCTGATGCGCTGATGCTGATGCTGATGCGCTGATGCTGATGCTGATGCTGATGCGCTGATGCTGATGCTGATGCTGATGCGCTGATGCTGATGCTGATGCTGATGCGCTGATGCTGATGCGCTGATGCTGATGCGCTGATGCTGATGCTGATGCGCTGATGCTGATGCTGATGCGCTGATGCTGATGCTGATGCTGATGCGCTGATGCTGATGCTGATGCTGATGTGCTGATGCTGATGCTGATGCTGATGCTGATGCTAATGCTGATGCTGATGCTGATGCGCTGATGCTGATGCTGATGCGCTGATGCTGATGCTGATGCTGATTGCGTGTGAATTGAGAGGAATGTTGAGAATTCTCAAAAGTCACCTGTCCTATCTCTCCCCTTCTATTCTCGTCTCCAGTTTCCCGTTTCGCAGCTCAGCCCAACCGTAGTAACCACACTTCTTCTCTCCCCTTCTCCTCTCCTCCGCCCTCTCTCCTCCGCCCTCTCTCCTCCGCCCTCTCTCCTCCGCCCCCTCTCCTCCGCCCCCTCTCCCCACAGCTCATACCATGACGGGGATCACTACAACAGCGTGCGGATGGAAGGGGACGTTGGGTACACGCCAGCTCAGCCAATCACCATTCAGGTTCACCAATGCTTGCTGTCTCTCTTCCGCCCACTCCTCAGCAATTCACCTGCAATTCACCTACACGCCCTACTCACCCGTCACTTATCTTCCGCACTTCCTCTGTTCAGAGTGGAACTGGCAACAGCAAGGCGTCACAAGCAGGGGCGTCTGCACCTGCAGCATCAAGTGTGGATGATGGGGCGGTGAAGCTTGTCGTATCCTCCACAGGCTGCCACGACCGGCAGAGAATCATCCAGGTGAGTCGATACATCCTCGTCCCCCACACTTCTCAGTGCGTCACAAGGGGGGGCGCCTGCACCTGCAGCATCAAGTGTGGATGAGGGGGTGGTGAAGCTGGTCATATCCTCCACTACACAGGCTGCCATGACCGGCAAAGAGTTATCCAGGTATGTTGATTTTCCCTCTTCTTGCACTTGTTAATGCATCAGTCTCAGCTGCAGCAGCATCAAGTGTGGATGAGGGGGCGGTGAAGCTGATCATATCCTCCACAGGCTGTCATGACCGGCAGAGAATAATGCAGGTGGTTTGGCTCCCCCTTTTCCCGCTCTCTATTGTGTATCTTGGAGAGTGAGTTGGAAATTAGTACATGCTGTGGCTGCCGTGCCCGCCAGAGGATCTTTTGCCTGTTTACCATCTCTTTTCCCCCCCTTACCCCACGTGGCAGACTTTGGATGACCTGGCAGGTGACGTGGATGCAGCCATAGAGTACCTTATTGCTGTCCTGGCCAATGAGACAGCGCCACGTGGCGATGCAGAGCATCCAGCAGCGCTCTCCTCATCCTCGGTCCCTACAGGTCCAGTGCGAGCAGAAGCAGCAACATCAACAGCAACAGTAACATCAGACGCAACAGCAACATCAGCACCACCATCCACAGCAGCACCATCTCAAACCACACCACTTGATACAGCCACACCCATTACAATCAAACCACTTGCAACGCTAGAGACAGCAGCGCTTCCAGGCAGAGCCGTTCCCAGTTCTGAGCGCAGTGAGCGCAGTGAGCGCAGTGAGCATCAGCAAACGCCCTCTGCAGCACTTGCAGCAGCAGCCTCGGGAGCAAATGATGAAAGCAGCTGTGGCAACATGCAGGCGTGTGCTGCTGCCGTGCCTGGCGATACTCCTGCTGCCGATGCATGGGTAAAGGGTGCTCTTCCTGGTTCAGCCCCCCCTGCCTCTGTAAAGTCGTCGTCAAAAGCGGTAAGTCGGGTTTGCATTTTCTTGCAAAGTATAGTGTATGCAGCACGCACTGATGATACCTAATTGGTGTGCTCTTGTGTGTGTGGGTTTCCTGTCTGATATGAATGATGCAGTCCCATCAGGCTCAAGGTCGCAATAAGCCGTGCCCTTGTGGCTCGAAAAAGAAGTTCAAGGCATGCTGTGGCACCGTAAAGGCTACTAATCAGAAAAGCTTGGATAATCCCGATTTGTCGAAAATGAGCAATCGAGAGCGGAAAGAGCACCTTGCAAGGATGAAGGGGTCTGAAGAAACTGGTTGGCAAACTACGGGGTGCAGACGTTCTAATGAGGATCTTCAGGAGGAAAGCTTACATGTGGACCTTGGCTCTTTGTGTATCTAATAATATTATCACATTGTAACGGGTCGCTGACTTGTAGTGTATTCACACGTGGGAAGTTGACGTTTGCGAAAGGTCTCCATCCTAATCGGCAAGGTATTCTGCACGACGACACGACTTGGTGCATTCCACTCCCACAACCGTTAGTGCTGACATCGCTCGCAGTCGCATTCCGTCGCAATACCCCTCCCCTAGGTCGCACCGTCTCTATAAACGGGCAAAAGAACCGACGACGACAGCCTGATTTCAGGCACACACCCATGTCCACGCGGTCGCAAACAAAACTGAGCGACGAGCCTCAATGCTCCCGCTCGCGCGCTTCGACGGTGCGGTATCGCGACTCGCCAATGTTTCCAGCAAATTCGTCATTCCGCTATTTGGAAAATCAACTTCCCTCCTCCAACACACTACCGCTCTACTCTCCCCGCTTCCGTCCTCCTTCCCCCGTCGTTTCTATTCGACCGAAATTAATTTGCGTCCTTCCGATGTAGCTGTTGGGGACTGCCATACCCACCCCTCGAATTCGGCATACCATGAATGACCTCTAACATGCTGAATTGGCACCGCAGCAACACGCCGGCATCGGAATCTAGTCATCAGGTGTTGAAAGTATCGTAACGAGGACGAAAGGCGGCACTCGGCTGTGCCAGTATTAAGCTCATCCGCCTTTTTACTACTGAGTGGTATACTCCAAAGGTTCCCAATCTATGCCTGACGAGCGAGGGCCTGCTGGACAGTTCTGCTAGACGTAGAGCCACCTGCTTATCCGCCAACGTCAAGGCCGAAGAGTTAGGACGAGCACAGTCAAGAGTTGGATCATTCCAGCCAGTCGCACTTGCCCGATCGCGCTTCCCGATTATACCAGCAATCTCTCCGGCGGTTCTTTTTCCACGTAACGAGAATCAAAAGTCGCTTGAAAAGGTTATCCGAATTCTGTCGCGAGCACGGTCAACAGGGAGATTATCTTCAAATGGCGCCTTCCCGGATACAACCCGCACTTGCCGTAGCGCTACTCGCGCTATTCGTTGCGCTCTCCGCAATCTCCGCGCAAGCAAGTGCGTGCCTCCCCTTTGGCCATCCCTCGCTTTGCCTCGGTACCCGAAAGCGCGCCTCTATCGGTGTGTCTCCTTGCTCCGTTTCATACGCGTGCCCCGCGTGTCCCTCGCTTCGCCTCCGTTGTGACGCGAACGCCGCAGTTTCTGCTCGTAATTTTTTTTTTTTCCGTAGTCTTTCCGCCGTGTGGAAACTCACTCGCTATGAACACCGCTAGATTCGTTCTATGGAGGATCGCGCAAGTTATCTCGAGCGGCTCGAAAAATGGCGGAGTTTCAATACGTGGGGGATGAAGAGGAAGTGAAAGATACCGATCTAGAGGGTGACGAGGAATGGTTCAAAAGTAAGGCCAGATTCACAGCTCTAGCATTCTAATTCTGATCCCTCTTTCCCTCGCCCTTTTTCTTCTCCTTCTCCTCTCCTGTTCTTGCCCGTCCCCCTACCTCTCCGCTCTCCCCGCACCCCTCTTCCCCGCTTTCCCTGCTTCTCCGTCCCCTTCCCCTCTATCCCCCTTGCCTCCTCGTTTCCGTCTTTCCCCCTCCTCCCCCACGGCTCGCCTGACCTCGTTTCCGCCTGTGCAGAGGGATCGCATCCCAAAGGCTCATGCAGCCCCGTTGTAAGCAACGTCACTATACCGATAAAGACTGCCGCCGATTTTCAGAAGCGGAAACAACAGGGCCGCAACCAAACCGTCGTGCTTATGCTGCAGAACAGCCTGCTGCTCAGTCAAGGAAGCGGGTTGCTCTTTGACGGGGATTTCTCCTGCACCATTCTAACCGCGGCCAAACCCAACCTGTATATCAAATATAACGACGACGATATGCCGACGCTTCGAATTTGGAACACGAGTAATGTGCTTGTATACGGCATCAATTTCCTCGTTGCAGTCACGACCGGGTCGCCCCAGTGCCCGAACGTACCCGAGGTCGGTAACGGGGTCAACTGTCCCGCCGTACACATCTCCCGGTCGTACGGTGTCATCTTCGGCAAGTCTACAGTGTTCGGACGCGTGGACGTTCACAGGAGCATGAATTCGCGAGTCGACAGTATCAAGGTTACCGGCACCCCGACTTTCGCCAGTTCGCACGGCGTCATTCGCGTGGCGTACAGTGGCCACAGCACGAAGCTTATCAAGTCGAACATCGCTATATCCAATAACGAAGCGTATGGTAAGTGCACATCCCTGCCCTTCGTAGAATGTTCCGATTGTCATAATCCTCGCATAGTTCTCTACTACTTCGTATTCCTACTAAAAAAACTCCTGTCGCTCCTCCCCCGCCCGTCCCCGTTACACGCGTCCAGGTGTCGACACCCCGATCGTCTTATATCGAGGCGCGGTGGGAGTGAAAGTGTTCCGCAACTACGTGCACGATTTCATCTTCGCGGGGATCCGGTGCGGCGCGGACGTGCATTTCGCGGGCGACTGTATGATGACGAATGTATCCAACAACCTTGTAGTCGCTAAAGGGCGCAACACTAACGGGGATCACGACGCGGCGGGGATCTACTACTGCACGCACTGGTTCAACCCTGGGAACGTGGCGCAGTGTAACTACGTCTTTAACGGCGACCACTGCTACTATTTGGACTATGACACGTCGGACGTGCGCATCCGCGGCGGCGCGTGCATCAACACGTACGACGGGATTAAAGTCAACAACGGCAAGAGGTGAGCATGAGCAGTTGGCTAGTCTTGAGAACTTTTGGGATGTCTAAAAAGGTTGACACAAGCTCTCTAAATTTTCCTTTTCAGCATTGCGTTTCTCTCATTCATCCCCCCTCCTTCCGTCCCACCCCTTCCCTCTCCCCTCCCCCTCGCTACAGGAACGTCATCAAGGACGTCGTAATGAAAGGGCAGATCGGTGCAGTGGGGTGGTGCACGTGCCTCACCCCCACCGTGAACAACTGCCTCAAGGACCCCGGGTTGTACTGGGAAAACATGCGCAAGGCTTACTACGACACCCCGACATTCAGAAAGGTGAGGGGTGGGAGGGAAGAAAGGGATAGAGACTGTGTGGTGCACGTGCTTGCCCCTCACGCCCACCGTGAACGACTGCCTCAAGGACCCCGGACTGTACTGGGAGAACATGCGCAAGGCTTACTATGATACGCCCACGTTTAGAAAGGTGAGTCTTGATCCCTGGTGAATTGCTGCTTGTCTCGGTCGCAGTTCCTGCCCCTCACCCCCACCGTGAACAACTGCCTCAAAGACCCCGGGCTGTACTGGGAGAACATGCACAAGGCTTACTACGACACTCCAACTTTCTGAAAGGTCAGAAGAAAGAGGGATCAGTGAGGTGAGAAGAGGAAAAGGGTGGTTGTTGTGTGGTGGTTGGGACTGCTTCAACCCCACCATCAACAACATGCAAAACGTTTACTCAATATATTTCAGCACCTCCTCTTGCTCCCACTACACGCACCCTTACTGAACGCCTATAATCTCAACCGGCCCCTCTCTCCCCATCCGCCTCCCTCCCTCCCATCCTTCCCCCCCTCTCTCCCCCCACCAGTACTGGCCGTGGCTGAAGAGCGTGTATAAGGAGAGCGCAATCAACGGCCAAAACTGCTATCTTCCACCCTCTTTCTCCACTTCACCCTCCCCTCCCCCTTTTTTTCTTCCCTCCCTATCTCCCAAACCCCCTCAATCCCCCCCTCACATTCCTCTCCCCCCAACAGTACTGGCCGTGGCTGAAGAACGTGTGTCAGGAGAGCACAGGCAACGGCCAGAACTGCAACCTTACCCTTTCCCCACTTCACCCTTCCCTCACTTCACCCTTCATCACCCCCTTTTCCTTCCCCTCTCCAGTACTGGCCGTGGTGGAAGAACGTGTGTCAGGAGAGCGCAGTCAACGGGCAGAACTGCAACCCCCCGGGCGGCATGACCGCCGCCCAGACCGGCAAATGCAGCGGCCTGGCCACGGAGAATCAGCTGGATTTGATCCTCGTGAACACGACGCGAGATAGCCTCGAGTATAAGTACTGCGAAACGCTACCAGCAATGCACAAGCTGAACCAGCACTCCCATATTACGGTGGGTTCGGTTCCTTCCGCTGGATTCCGGAATTACAAGCGGAACGATCTGGGTTTGAGGCTCTGGTCGGACATTCGGCTCAAGCGGCCGAATGTTTTGAGCTGCCCGAGGCGGAAAACGGGGCCGCAGAAGAAGATTAATCCGGCGTGGTACTTGAGACGGTTTAACATTGGGAAGCCGAAGGGGTTTGATGAGGTGCTGACGATGACAACTCTTCACCTGATGGACCAATCGCAGATTCCCAAGTAGAGTGTGGATAAGAGTAGGGGGATGGAGAAACAGGGTGGAGCAAAGGTCAGAGGAAAGGGAGGAGGGAGGACATTTGGGGGGAGGATGGAGAGGAGGAGGTGGAAGAGGGAAGGAGACTAACATTAGTTATGGAAAGGAGCACGCTGCTGCTCCAAGATTTCAGACACCGTATACAGTCAGCCAGCTGGCTGCAAGGAGTTTTTGCAAGCGCTGAAGTGCAGCTTAGGTTGGAGGGGATGCATCAAGCACAGCCCCGTTCTTCAACACGGGTTAGTAGCGTCTCGATACAGGCTCGCAAGGAGCCTCCTGTTCCTTAGTCTTCGTTTTGCGTGGCCTGTTCCTTACGGAAGATACACGCAGGTAGCTAGCTAATAGCAACTGATTGAGAGATGCATAGCAGCTAGGTGTTTAGGCATTATTAGGCAGTATAGCGTAGTGGTACAACCTGCAGCCACTACTTGTGCATAAATACAGAACATTCCAGTGAAACCTCCTGATTGCAACAACCAAGAGCTTTCTAAACGAAACCCGTAATTATTCAGCACTCTTACCGGTGAGCTACCAGAGCAACAACATTTCGCAGAGAAATCGGTTTCGGAAAATATGCTATTTACCGCAGTGAATCCCACTTCACCCTTGTATTTGGCCGTTCAACCTGGCGGCTGCGCATTCCCCTTCTAGAAACCCACCTACCTACCCTGCAACTAAATCAATAGGAGGAATCTAACCGCCGCGTCATTGTTGCCGTCCTAGGTACCGTGAATTTGAGAGCGCGCTTCCGCTGTCGCAGGCGGAATGTCACGATGCGATGTAGTTAGTTTTGTTTCTCGTGCATTGACAATCCGTGCTCTTGTGACCTCATCTGGCAAGCGATTAGACTTACCTGCTTAGCCGTCCCTCGCATTTCATGCGACACCTGATTCGCGTGATTTTATGTTTCTTTCGGTTGAGAAAGTAAGCTTATTCTTATCAATATTTCTCACCCATCAGCCAATGCAACCCTTCCAATTCCTCAGCGGGTAACGATTCTAGGATGCGATGAAATCGCCCGGAGTAGCGAACACTCGCGAGCGTCGCAGCAGCTCGCGCGTCGAGGGTTTCAAATGGGCCATTCCCGACGGTCGCTCCGACCAGCCGTCCTTTTTCCGCCGAAACCTGCCGCTTCCGTTCCCCTTTTCGCGGCTTTCCGTCTCGTCTTGCGCCGTCCTTCTCGCAATCGCTCTCTTGCTTCTCATTGGCTCGCTCTTCCTCGGCCTATCCGCGTTCCGCTCGCGCGAGGTGACACGTGTCAGCACCAGCGACGATGACGGTGCGTCGTACGGAAATGACGATTACGGAGGCGCGGCCGGCAGCCCGCCTGCTCTTTCTGACGGAGACGGCAGCTTTGACGGCGGGAGCGGCGGCATTGGCAGCGCGTCAAAATCCACATTCGGGAAAGCCACTTTTGGCGGGAAACCGAGCCGCTGGAGCGTCGAAGAGGACCTAGATTCTGACATAGGAGGTTCCGGTTTAGGAGGCTCCGGCTTTGGAGGTGCTAGTTCCTGGAAATCCGGAAAAGGTATCGGAAGAGGAGCGGGAGCGCGGTCCGGATGGGGCAGAAACGATGACGTGGACGGTGGTGGTGCAGGGCTCGGTGGGTCGAACTTTCCTCGAAGGTTCGCTGAAGGTTCTGATGGTGACAATGGAGAAGATCCGCTGTATCCGAAGGACAACCAGCAAGTGATTGATGCGATTGGTGCTCTTAGCGGGGGAAGGGGCGGCTTGAAACGAGGGGGGATGCGAGGTGGGGACTACGAGGAGGAGGAGAGTGATGGGTTGAGTGCGGTTGGGAGGGGTAGGAGCGGGAGGAAAGGAAAGAAGAAGCGTGGGAAGAAGAAGAAGAGGACGAAGAAGAGGGGGAAGAAGGGGAGGCGTGGGAGCAAGACGAGAGGAAAGCGGAGAGACAGTCTTGACAATACCGAGGATGATTATGACGAGGATGAGGATGTGAGGCGAGGGGCGAGGAGCAAGAAAGGCGGCAGCAGCAGCAGGCGGAAGGGGAGCAGGAAGGGCGGAGGCAAGTGGGCGGGGGGGTTGGGGCAGGGGGAGGAGGAGGAGGAAAGGGATGGGGAGTCAGCATGGGGGGTTGGGAGAGGGGGGCGGTTGGGGGGACAGTCGAGCCTGGCCAGCAGGGGAAGAGGGGCGTGGAATGAAGGAGGAGCGTTCAAAAGCGCCTTCGGTCGTGACATGAGGTATGCCATATGTGGTCATGTGTTGCTTTGACTGTGAGTCAGCATGGGGGGGCGGGAGAGTGGGGCGGTAGGGGGAACAGTCGGGCCAGGCCAGCAGGGGAAGGGGGGCATGGAATGAAGGAGGAGCGTTCAAAAGTTCATTTGGCCGTGACATGAGGTATGCCATTCATGGCCGTATGGATGCCATTCATGGCCGTATGGATGCCATTCATGGCCGTATGGATGCCATTCATGGCCGTATGGATGTTTGATACAAGTTTGTTCATTAACGGTTCAAAACGTTGAAGTGCCTTCGCCCGTGACCTGAGGTATGCCGTCCGTGGTCGTGTCGTGAGGTGCTGTGACTGTGAGGTCGTGAGGCGAATGGTCTTATGTATGTGGGCAACCCTCATCTCTTCGTTGCCCCCATCCATCCCTTGTCCCCATCACTCGCTCTTGCCTCTTCCCCACTCTCTACTGCATGCCCTTCAAACTCCTCTACTCTCCCTTCAAAGACTGAAACCAACTGCGTTTGTCTCAACCCCTTCTCCCAACCCCCCCTCCCTGCAGTGGTGACACTGATGATGAGGGTAGTCTGGGCAGCAGCAGCACCTCAGGATTTGGCAGGAAGCGTGCAGGATCCCCCTTTTCCTCCTCCTCTTCCTCCTCCTTCCCTCGCAGCAGCAGCTTAGGAGCTTTGGGGGGAAACGATGACGAAGATGATGAGCTTGGTTCTGCTGGTGGTATGGGCGGCAGGGGGGTGGGAGGATTCGGAGGGGCAGGTGCGAGGGGAGGAGCAGGAGGAGCAGGAGGAGCAGGAGGAGTCAGCAGGGGGAGCAGGAGGAGTGGGCGGGGACGGAGATGAGATGGAAGTGGACGATACTGCTGCCGGCTCTGATACCACTAGCAGCAGCAGCAGCAGCAGCAGTGGAAGCAAAGCAGGGGGCTCGTCTGGGGGGATACTGGGTTTCTTTTCGAGCATGTTTGGTGGGGGGAGGAAAGCAGGCACTGCTGGGGAAGGGGCCGCGGATGGGGGAACCGCCACCAGTGGAGGTACTGGGGGGGGTGCAGCAGGTGATTGGGATGAGGAGGAGGAGGGTGGTGTGGGCGTGGGAGGGAGCACAGGAGGGAGTGCAGGAGGAGTGGGTACGGAACGGGGTTTAGGAGGGGGCTTGGGGGGGGTTGTAGGAGGGGGAATGGGGAGAAGCAGCAGGGCGGCTGGGTTTGAGGAAGGGGAGGAGGATATGGAGAGCTGGCAGGGAACAGGAACAGGGGCGACTTCAGGTGCCACCAGCGGCTCTAGTGGCATTGATAGGGGTGCGGACAGTGATATAGAGGATAGCAGCAGCAGCAGCTTGGGAGGGAGCGGTGGCAGTGGGAGCAGCGGGTCAGGACTGTGGTCTTGGTTTTCCAAGAAGAAGAGTGGTGGTGATAGCAGCACAGAAAATGATGCTAGCACTGATGCGTCATCGGTAGCAGCAGGAGCAGCAGCAGGAGGAGGTGCTGGAGCAGCAGCTTTAGCAGGTGCGGGTGATGCGGACGACGATGATGGGGATGGGCGGGTGGGTGGAGGGGCAACAGGAGGTGCGGGGAGGATGGGCGGTGTTAGGGGTAGAGGTGCGGGCATGGGAGCGGGCATGGGAGGTGCGGGCATGGGAGGTGCTGGAGCAGCAGCATTAGCAGGTGGGGGTGATATAGATGACTACGATGGAGATGGGCGGGTGGGTGGAGGGGCAACAGCGGGGGCAGGAAGGATGGGCGGCGTAAGGGGTAAAGGTGCAGCACTGGGTGGTTCACGCATGGGAAGTGCGGGAATGGGAGGTTCGGGCATGGGAGGTGTGGGTATGAGAGGTTCGGGGATGGATGATGGTCCATTGCAGCGGAGTGGTTTGTTTGGGGAGAGCGGGGATGCAGATGGGATGGAGGGTGGCAGGGTGGGACGTGGGGTGGGGAGGAGCAGAGCAGGGAGAGTGAGGGGGCGACCAGGTATGGACACCATGGAAGCCAGAGAGGGTTTTGAAGCAGGGGAGGGTATGGGGGGCGGTGGGGCTGGTGCTGCTGGTGGGGTTGGCAGAGGCTCCAGGGGTGGTTTCAGGACGGGTCGGATGGGCACTGCTGGTGCTGCTGCTGGTGCTGGTGCTGGTTTCACTGGTGCTGCTAGTGGTGGTGGTGCAGGTGGGTTTAGAAGACCGGGTGGGGGCCTTGGTGGGCGTGGCAGGGGACGGCCCATTCTGGAAGACGAGGAATGATACGTTTGCAGTTGCCAGTTTTATGGTACGTGGTACCGGTAATGGTGGTGCTAACTATGATACCATAATATGGGTTTGGCGAGGAATGGCTGAGAATTGGGGTTCTTTTCAAAAGAACCTCCAGATACCATATTGACTTATTTGACCCTATACAAGCTAGCTAATAGCTATTGACAACGAGGAATTCTTTTGGCATGAACAAGAGGTTGAACAAGCCACTATGATGGAGCGGAAAGAAAAATCGTGAAGGACATTATTTGTGCTTCAGGTTTCTGTGGTAGAACTAATAGCTTCATATGCCAAACCGGATACCAGTGCAGGAATACACGGGCTTTCAAAATGCATCCTTTGTATCTTTAGCGAGTACAGCGGATGACATTCCCAAGGGGACCGAGTCTGGTCAGAAATTGCTATCCAGCCATGGCTTGGGCCAGGAGTAATATCAAGTTGGCATCTTCTTACAGTCTTAGAGGGAAGGAACTACCGTAAGAAGACATAATGCTGAGATTTCTTCGTGGGACGCTCGCTCGCTTCGCCTAATAAGAATATGCCATGCTAGAATTGTGATAATTATTCACGTGTTAGTGTGACCTGTGAAGATGATTAATTCGACCATGGATCCTGCGGGAATCGCGGAAGTCGCGATAATGGCAGGAACCGCGGGAAACGCGGGAAATGTGGGACACGCAGCAGCGAACGTGTCGCTGGTGCTGTCAGAGAGCGCGTCGTCGGAGATTCTCGCGTGTTCCTTCCTCATGGCGACGACCATGCTCGTCGCTTACATCTCTAAGAAACACCACTGGGTCTACTTTCCTGAGTCATGTGAGCCTACCGTTGGGGATAACGCAAGACACGGCGCCGCTCATCCCAGAGATTTCTCTCCTTGATCAAGTCAATTTACCACCCACATTGGATAACCTCTCTGTGTGTGCTTGTATCGATTGGCAGCGGCGGCGCTGGTGCTGGGGATGGTGTTTGGCGTGCTGTCGCTGGTCCTGGAGGACGATCTGGCGTTCACCTCCCCATCGTCATGAATTAACTGACAATATGTGTGTGCTTGTTTATTTTGAATGCCAGCGGCGGCGCTGGTGCTGGGAATGGTGTTCGGCGTGCTCTCCCTCGTCCTGGAGGACGACCTGGCGTTCACGTTCAGCCCGGAGATCTTCTTCTATGGCCTCCTCCCCATCATCATCTTCAACGCCGGATACGCCCTGAAGAAGAAAGTACGGCAATGACGTGAATTTTCCTGCCTTTGGAGCAATCCGGGATCGCTACCAGCTATGGTTGCACGTCAGCATTGATTCGACCAGTCAACTTTAGCAGCACTCCCTGTCAGCAAACTTCATGCTGAATGAACTATTTTGGTCAGATTCTAGCAGTTGCAGTTCTTACTACTTCCAAGTTTTCACTTTCACTGACATTTCTCTGGTTGCCTGGCAGGATTTTTTCCGCAATTTCTGGACCATCACCCTCTTTGCTGTGGTGGGGACCATCATCTCCACGCTGGTGTACGGGCTTGCCACGTACTCCCTCGTCCGAGCTGGCATTGTGACCCACATGACGTCAGACTCGCCTCTCCTCGAGTCGCTCATATTCGGATCGCTCATTTCCGCCATCGACCCTGTTGCTACGCTTTCTATTCTGCAAGGTATCTCTGTGTGGCCAGCCATTAGTTGCGAGAAGCAAGCCATGCGACGTTACTCATGAGTCAATGGTAACTGTACAATAATGAGGAGACGTTAGTGAAGAGAAGAGACATTAGTCGTGAGACATTAGTCATGAGATCAGTCATCAGACATAAGTCATGAGACATCAGTCAGGGGACATCCTCTCCTTCACACCTTTGCTCCCCTTTCCTTTCTGCATGGCAGACGTACATACAAGCACCAATGCTCCTCTACAACTTGGTGTTTGGCGAGAGCCTTGTGAACGATGCCGCCTCCATCGTGCTCTTCCATGCATTCTCCTCCTTCACACATTCGGCACCTTTGCTCCCATTTCCGTTCTTTCTCCGCCGCATGGCAGACGTACAAGCACCAACGCTCCTCTACAATCTGGTGTTTGGAGAGAGCCTCGTGAACGACGCTGTCTCCATCGTGCTCTTCCGCACCTTCTCCTCCTTCACCAATCAGGAGTTCTCTATGGCCAGCATCGCCACTGCAATAGGCAGGTTCTTGCATTCATCTGCCAATTAGGTACCACGTGCATTCACATGCTGCTCGTTTCCGCCATCGACCCCCTTGCTACGCTTCCAACATTGCAAGATAATGCAAGGAGAACACGTCTCGCCTCTTTTACACCCATGTCTCCCTCCTCTGCACACTTATGCTTCACGAGTTCGCCAAGCTCAAGCTCTTTCTTCCTTGTGGTCGCCCCCTCATCCCTATCCTGGCTTCCCCCTCCTCTCTCCCCCCACACCCATTCCCCTTTCTTACCCTGCACCCCCTCATTCCCCCCTTTCCTCTGCCGGCCTTCATTTCACACCCCCCTCCCCCCGGGCCCCAACCCAACAGTCCAGTTTCTGGGCATCAGTGTGGGCTCCATCCTGCTCGGAATCCTCGTCTCCCTCCTCTGCGCCCTCGCCCTGCGTTTCATCGATATCAACAGTGACTTCTCCAAGTTCCAGCTCTCCCTCGTGCTCTTCCCCCCCACTCCCTGCAATTGACCCCAACCCAACAGTCCAGTTTCTGGGCATCAGCGTGGGCTCAATCCTGCTCGGAATCCTCGTGTCCCTCCTCTGCGCCCTCGCCTTACGATTCATCGATATCAACAGCGAGTTCTCAAAGTTTGAGCTTTCTCTCGTGCTTGTCTCGGGCTACCTCTCCTACTCCGTCGCTGAAATGCTCTCTCTCTCCGGCATCATGGCTCTGTTCTTTTGCGGCATCTGCAACGCTCATTACGGGTACGCCCACTCACGTTCTATCCTATGCAATGCAGGTAACAACATGTATGCACGGTGTTTGCAGTCCCCTTGAGGGCAGAGGCACGCAAGTTCGAGCTCTCGCTCGTGCTTGTCTCTTCCTACCTCTCCTTAAGATGCTCTCTCTTTCCGACATCATGTCCCTCTACTTCTGTGGCATCTGCAATGGCCACTACGGGTACGACGCCTCACTTTGTATGCAACAGTCATTTCAGGTAAAGTACAAGTCTTGTTTCATGAGTACAGTGTTGACTTTAGTCGGCAACACATGTTGGCATCGTACCCACAATGTGTGTTGCACAACATAACTTTTGCGTTACGCTTAGCATTGATACCATCCACTGAGTTTCTAGTAAGCTGTAACTCTATTACCACATTACTACTTGCTTGCAGGTACTACAACATTTCGCACGCGTCCAAGATCAGCAGCAAGTACGCGTTTGAAGCGCTCTCCTTCATGGCAGAGATGTTCGTTTTCGCCTACCTGGGCATGCAGGTGAGTGGTGCGCTGGGCATGGAAGTGAGTGCTGCGCTGTGATCAGTAGGTTCTACGTTTTTTTCCAGTGGAGCCCTCACTTTCATGCCAGAGATATCCGCCTGCATCCTACCATGCGTATGGCCATCCCTCTCTGCCACGTGCCATGCTAACTCCAGGCCTTGTACCATATTCAAACCATGCCACCTTTAACATGGCAGGTGGTACCGTGGTGGTGATGCAGCACGTCATCGACCGGGGTCTGCTGCTCTCCACGATCCCGATCATGCTATGTTTCATCTGTAGACTGTATCCCCATTCCTCTCTGCCATCTCCATGCCATGCCATTTGTTCCGACAGGTCGTGGTGATGCAGCATGTCATCGACTGGGGTCTGCTGCTCTCTGCCATTCCTCTCTGCCTCATATCCCGAGCTTTCAACGTCTTCCCACTCTCCTTCCTCTCCAACTGCACTCAGTGAGTCCCTCTCTCACAGTAAGCCCCTCTCTCACAGTAAGCCCCTCTCTCACAGTAAGCCCCTCTCTCACAGTAAGCCCCTCCCTCACAGTAAAACCGTCTGAGGTCTTTCTTTCAAGTTAACCCCCTCCTTTGATGAGTCGATTTTGAAGTAGAATCAGCCTTCATGGTCTCTCTTTCAAGTACCCCCCCCAGCGCTCAACATGCCTTGACTCTTCTCCATGCCCCTGTACCCCTTTGCCTCCTTCGTTCCCCTCTGTCATCCTGCGTTCTCCTAATTCTCATCCAGGGCCAACAAGATCCCCACCAACATGATTATAATGATGTGGCTCAGGGCGCCATTGCATTTGCCCTCGCGCTCAACATGCCTTCGCTCTCTCCTGCGCCTATGCCTCCCTGCATTCCCCAACCCATCCCAGGGCCAACAAGATCCCCACCAACATGATCTTAATGATGTGGCTAAGCGGCCTGAGGGGTGCCATTGCCTTCGCCCTCGCCCTCAACATGCCGCAGCGCAACCCTGCAATTATCTCCACCACCCTCTCCCCTGCATCCCGTGTGTTCTCCACCCCAGGGCCAACAAGATACCTACCAAAATGGTGCTAATGATGTGGCTCAGTGGCCTAAGGGGAGCAATCGCCTTCGCCCTCGCGCTCAACATGCCTTCATGCCCTTCCCTGCCCATATCCCACTGTGTTCCTCTGCGCTCCCCTGGTTCCCACCCCAGGGCCAACAAGATCCCCACCAACATGATTCTGATGATGTGGCTCAGCGGCCTAAGGGGAGCAATCGCTTTTGCCCTCGCGCTCAACATGCCGCAGCGCAACCCTGCAATCATCTCCACCACCCTCTTTGTCGTTGTGCTCACCACCGTCGTGATAGGTGGCTCCACTTGTCCTCTTCTGCGCGCTCTGGGCCTCTCTGCCGCCCACCCGCCCACTCTCACACATGCACGTGGCTCTCTGACTGGGTCCTCTCATGGTAACACTCCCTTACACTCCCCTCCACATTCCCTCTCACACGCACACCCACACTCGCACCCACACTCACACTCACACTCACACACTGAAGCAGGCGCAGCAGAAGCAGAGTGGGAATCAGGGCACCATCATTCCCTCCGCACTGTACCCTCTTTAGACGTCCCCCTTATAGGCGGTCGCAGCCTCAACGATCTTCTGTACATGCAACGATCGCACTCCCTCTCTCTCGGTCCCCCCTCCGGCCTCCACAAGTGGTTCAAATGGCTCGACCAGCATTACTTAAAGCCACTCTTCGGCGGCAGGGCGTTTAGAGACCAGCACTTATCCGAGCAGCTAAGTGTTGACGAGGAGGAAGCGATGGAGGGAATTCCCTGCCTTTTCTACCGAGGAGTAGGATTTTCGCTAAGTGTGCCGAGAAACTGGGTAGAGGAGCTTCCATCCGCGTTTGAAGACCATGTACTGGTGAAGTTTAGTGGCTCCGATGTGACTATAGACGGCAATCCTGTAGCGGAGCTCGATGTGATCTGTTTTTCCATCCGCCCGTCCGGAATTTCCTCGCTGACCGAATTCGGTGACCCGATGAATTTCCTGCTGACCGAGTGGGATAATATCTGCCCGGAGCTTGCAGCTGGTGTGAGCGTGAGCAGCAAGGTTGGCGGCAGCAGTGGTGCGGGCAGCAGCAGAAGCAGCAGCAAGGCTAGTGGTGCGGGCAGTAGTAAACCTCTTGTTCTGGCTGAAGGGGTTAAGAGGTCTGTCTCATTCTCGTTGCCTGAAGCAGCATCTGCTGCTGCGGCTTACCAGCCATCTCCTGCTGCTCCTGCCTCTGCTGCCACTACTGCCACTGCAGCTGCGGCTATGGGTGCTGCTACTGCTGCTACCACTGCTGGTGCTGCTGCTGCCACTGCTGCCGCTGTTGCTGCGGTTGCAGCTACTGCTGAGAGTGGCAGCGACAAAACAACCTTCTCTTCTATCTTTGGAAGCCCCGAGTCTCCACCCGCCCACCCATCCTCCTCTCAACCATCCCAGCAATCCCCCTCCCAACGGCAAAGCTCAGGACGAGAACGGCCCTCTCAATTTTCCAGTCAGAGAAACGTCCCTTCAGGGATGAGTGGCCGAGAGCAAACCTCCCAGGCTGCCCTCCCGTCCATGCCCAGCCTTGCCCGGGCACGCTCGCAAACTTCTCATGCTGCCCGAGCTGCCCCGGCGTTCGTCATCTGGGCAGAAGAATTGATTTCTGCCGGGGGAAAGTTTTTTCGGTATGAGCTGGTTGTTCACCCAGAGGACTTGGGGGATCACAAGGCGGATATTCAGCATCTGCTGCTGTGTGCAGGGGTATCAAACGGTGCTGTGCATGTCTGCAGGGTGAGGGGCACTGAGGCGTTTTTCTTTGATGGCAGGCCGCTGCTGAAACATATTTTAGACTCATTTGCCTTGTCGTGAATGACAATGAGATGTGTGCCTGGACTCATTGTTCTGCTGTATGCTTTGTTCAGTGATGCACATGATCATGTGAGTTGAATTTGTTTGTCCTGCTGCATGTTTCAGTGCATAACCCAACCCACCATCAACTGCGTCTGGCACCACGGACCTGGCAGAGTAGAATACCGTATGATAGAAAAGAAATGGACGATGGACCTCCTGTACAGAATACGTTCTCACATGCAAGACGCCAAGACGTATCAATGGTACCTACCTGCAAGCATCTGCACTATCCAAGAGCTTCTATATACAGCAGAAATAACGTAGGGGTAAGACCAATCAGTGCACGGCACGTGGCTGCTGCACGCGCATGCGCTGCGCCCTGCATTCCATGGCAGGCGACCAGCAGCGCGTCACGACCTCCCTTGGCTGAACCACGAAAAGACACGGCAGTGGCGAGTGAGGGGGAGAAGAGGAGACAGATACGGAAGGGTGAAAATGGTGGTTGGGGGAGAACAGGGGCAGGTAAGGAGGGGGGAAGAGGAGGGTAAGGGAGAGAAAATTTGCACAACGCAGATGGAAACGAGAGGCAAGAAACGGACAGGTGAAAGGCGTGGGAGGCTCGAGGTAAGCGTACCGCGTGGGGGTGAAGCGCGTGTGCCTTGGTGGGCGGGTACTCGTCGACCTTCGACAGAGCCCGCATCAACGCGTCTGGCATTCGCGGCATGGGGAAAGGAGAAACAGTATAAATACACGAGCTGTGGTTCTTTCAACGGAAAAAAAGGTTGGTGAAAAACATTCCAACACTTCACGTGCGGCTTCATTCAGAAACCATGCCCGTTTTTCGAATCAATAAAGGTAAAGGGAACGAAATACGGCGATTCGTCGCCTTATCTTATCGTGGTTCCATTTCAAGGCTCCAAAATAAATCAGCGGTCGTACCTTTGTCCACGTGTTGCATTCTGGCCTCCTTAGCGGCCTGCATCTTGGCGATGGCCTCGCGCGCTTTCATCTTCCGCCGCTTCTGCGCGCGCGCCGTCAGCTCCGCCATTACCTTCGCCATCAGCTCGCGCCGCTCCTGAATCTCCGCGGGGTGGTTGTGCAGCGTGCGCGCGCCGCTGCAGCAGCATCCGCGATATAGGGAGAGGTGGCACTCGCCGCAGACGTCGACGTAGAACGGCAGGCAGAGGTGCACGTGGCCGGAATTCTCGTCCGCATACACGACCTTGCTCGTCAGCGCTTTGGGACACGAACACAGCGCCATGGCGTGCGAGATGGCGCGTCGGCTCAAGAAAGGAAATTAACTACAATTGATGATATGAGAGGAATTTAATGTACCTGTTCCTTCGAGATTTGCAATTCCTGGCGAGAAAATGAAGTACAATTACGGAGCGAATGAAACAAACGAAAGGCAGATTCGATGCGACACTAGCTACCGAGCACAAGAATGGGAGCTCTGAGAGAAACTGATGCTTTCAACAAGTGGGAGCCATTGTTCAGGTCGTCGTCTCGAGCGCAACCAAGAAATATTACAGTACCCGTCAATTGGGTTGAGTTGAGGGAGGGGATGCTTGTTGCGCGGCGTAACCGCGTTCGATGATGGAGTGAAATGCGCCGATTGCGGAAGGGAAATTGTTCAATCCGACCTGGCCAACGCAGATGACACGTCGTTGCGAGATTGTGCGATACTGTGGAGACTTTGGGGCAGACAGTACGGGCAGGTAGCATCTCAAAAGGATGATCGGTTGGCATTTTGTTTGGAATGAGATTGACGAGGCCTTATACCAAATACACTCTGTCCGATTATTAAATCAGTAAGAGCGTGCCGTTTTGCCCGCGATTTGTTTGAACACCCTGGGTCCTCTCGAAACTGCCGAATTGTCTGCCAGCAGGACTCTTACTTGCCCAGCTGGCACCTTGCTAGTCGAAATCAATACATTTTGGTCGCCAAGTCGCTGGAATGCGCTGGGTGGATGGGGTATACACGTCACCAAGACGTGGCCGTCAGGGAAAAATCGTCTACTAAAGAACGCTATGTGGACATTTATACCGTAAGAGTTCCCATCATTTTACCATCTATGTTCATTTGGAAATATATTGAGTTTTCTCAATGCATCAGAGCATTGTCGCACACTGAGATATCATCAGTAAGATCATATACCGGCTAAACAAAGACATTTGTATAAGCAATCTAGCTACATATGCTGCTCATCGAGCAATGCCGCTTTCGTCTCTAGATACTAATATCTGTACCCGGGGGGAGGTGGTCCCCCTGGTCCATATCTAGGGGGAGGGGGACCATATCCAGGCGGGGGAGGCATGCCTGGTGGGCCACCAGGGGGAGGCATACCTGGGGGAGGCGGACCCCCTGGATACCCAGGAGGGGGAGGGCCCCCTGCCATGCCAGGAGGGGGAGGCATACCTGGGGGACCAGGGGGAGGGCCCCCTCCCCCCATGTATGGAGGAGGGGGCATTCCAGGGGGAGGGGGGCCTCCCCCCATGCCGGGGGGAGAGGGACCAGCGCCTGGGGGGAATGGCTGTGGGGGGGGGCGCCCAGGGGGGGGAGGGCCAGGGGGAGGGCCACCTGGGGGAGGGGGGCCCCCCATCATAGGGGGAGGGGGACCACGCCCAGGCATGGGGGGAGGGGGACCACGGGGAGGGCCATATGGGGGAGGCCCACCAGGGGGAGGGTAAAACTGGCCCGGGGGTGGACCACCGGGCCTAGGAGGTCCGTACGGAGGCCCGGCAGGCCCCGGAGCACCTGGTCCGGGAGGAGGCCCACCAGGAGGTCCGGGAGGGTAAGGCCCGGGAGGGGGAGGGCCACGGAAAGGGGGGCCTTGGGGGGACCCTTGGGGGGGACCGGGGGGACCGTAAGGGCTAGGGGGAAAGTTTCTGGGGGGAGTGCCATGGGGAGGGGGACCGGGAGGGGGACCTCGATTGTAGGGAGGGGGAGTATGGGGAGGGGGACCGTGGGGAGGGCCGGAGTGGGGGGGAGGGGGACCCTGGAAAGGGGGGCCGTGGGGAGAGGGAGCATGGGGAGGGGGGCCTCTGGGAGGGGTGGAAGGAAAGGCTGCTGGGCGGTTGTGGTGGGTGAGAATGGGCGGTGCAGAGGAGGGAGGGGCGGCAGGGGAGGAGGCGGGGTAGTAGGGAGCAGGGGCACCGGGAGTGGGGAGGACAGGTGGGGCGGTAGAGGGGGCGAGAGGGGCAGCGGGGGAGTACGGGGAGGAGGAGAGGATGGGTGGAGAGGACGTGGTGATAGGGGTGGCGGCGGCAGTGGCAGTGGTGGTGGTGATGGTAGAAGAGAGAATGCCGGCCGTGGTGGTGGCAGTGGTGGAAGGAGCAGGGATAGGGGCGACTGTGGGGAGGTCTGGGCGAGTGAAGTCCCTGCTGCGATCGTTGTTTGCCTGAGAAAGGGGTGCAATGAAGGGGACAATGCAGTGCAGAGGAAAAACGGGTGAGAGGGAGTGAGATGGCAGCTGGTGAGATGGGAGGTCTCGGCGAGTGACGTCCCTGCTGCGATCATTGTTGGCCTGAGACGGGAGGGGAAGATGAGGGGATAATGGGCATTTAGGGACGACATTTGAGGCGCCTCAAAAGCAGGTCTGCGCGAGTGAAGTCCCTACTGCGATCGTTATTGCAATGGGAGGAGAGGTAGGGCAAACGGAAGAGAGAAGAATGACAGGAAGAGAGAGCGACGAGCGGGAAAGGCGAGTCAACGAGACATCGACTCACAGAGATAGAGCGTCGACTCACAGAGATAAAACGTCGCCTCACAGAGAGAGCGTCGACTCACAGGGATAGAGCGTCGACTCACAGAGATAGAGCGTCGACTCACGGGGATAGAGCGTCGACTCACAGGGATAGAGCGTCGACTCACAGAGATAGAGCGTCGACTCACAGAGATAGAGCGTCGACTCACAGAGATAGAGCGTCGACTCACAGAGATAGAGCGTCGACTCACAGAGATAGAGCGTCGACTCACAGAGATAGAGCGTCGACTCACAGAGATAGAGCGTCGACTCACAGAGATAGAGCGTCGACTCACAGAGATAGAGCGTCGACTCACAGAGATAGAGCGTCGACTCACAGAGATAGAGCGTCGACTCACAGAGATAGAGCGTCGACTCACAGAGATAGAGCGTCGACTCACAGAGATAGAGCGTCGACTCACAGAGATAGAGCGTCGACTCGCAGAGATAGAGCGTCAACTCGCAGAGATAGAGCGTCGACTCACAGAGATAGAGCGTCGACTCACAGAGATAGAGCGTCGACTCGCAGAGATAGAGCGTCGACTCACAGAGATAGAGCGTCGACTCACAGAGATAGAGCGTCGACTCACAGAGATAGAGCGTCGACTCACAGAGATAGAGCGTCGACTCACAGAGATAGAGCGTCGACTCACAGAGATAGAGCGTCGACTCGCAGAGATAGAGCGTCAACTCGCAGAGATAGAGCGTCGACTCACAGAGATAGAGCGTCGACTCACAGAGATAGAGCGTCGACTCGCAGAGATAGAGCGTCGACTCACAGAGATAGAGCGTCGACTCACAGAGATAGAGCGTCGACTCACAGAGATAGAGCGTCGACTCACAGAGATAGAGCGTCGACTCACAGAGATAGAGCGTCGACTCGCAGAGATAGAGCGTCGACTCGCAGAGATAGAGCGTCGACTCACAGAGATAGAGCGTCGACTCACAGAGATAGAGCGTCGACTCGCAGAGATAGAGCGTCGACTCACAGAGATAGAGCGTCGACTCACAGAGATAGAGCGTCGACTCACAGAGATAGAGCGTCGACTCACAGAGATAGAGCGTCGACTCACAGAGATAGAGCGTCGACTCACAGAGATAGAGCGTCGACTCGCAGAGATAGAGCGTCAACTCGCAGAGATAGAGCGTCGACTCACAGAGATAGAGCGTCGACTCACAGAGATAGAGCGTCGACTCACAGAGATAGAGCGTCGACTCACAGAGATAGAGCGTCGACTCGCAGAGATAGAGCGTCAACTCGCAGAGATAGAGCGTCAACTCGCAGAGATAGAGCGTCGACTCACAGAGATAGAGCGTCGACTCGCAGAGATAGAGCGTCGACTCACAGAGATAGAGCGTCGACTCACAGAGATAGAGCGTCGACTCACAGAGATAGAGCGTCGACTCACAGAGATAGAGCGTCGACTCACAGAGATAGAGCGTCGACTCACAGAGATAGAGCGTCGACTCGCAGAGATAGAGCGTCAACTCGCAGAGATAGAGCGTCGACTCACAGAGATAGAGCGTCGACTCACAGAGATAGAGCGTCGACTCGCAGAGATAGAGCGTCGACTCACAGAGATAGAGCGTCGACTCACAGAGATAGAGCGTCGACTCACAGAGATAGAGCGTCGACTCACAGAGATAGAGCGTCGACTCACAGAGATAGAGCGTCGACTCACAGAGATAGAGCGTCGACTCGCAGAGATAGAGCGTCAACTCGCAGAGATAGAGCGTCGACTCACAGAGATAGAGCGTCGACTCACAGAGATAGAGCGTCGACTCGCAGAGATAGAGCGTCGCCTCACAGATTCTTCATCATTCTGTAGATCCGAGCGAAATTCCGCCTTGCCTCACCACCCACTTTGCCACACCGCCCACCGCGCTACACCGCCCAAGTTGCCTCATGGTCTCTCACCACATACCTTGACGTTAAGGTCCGTGTGGCGAGAGGAGGAGACGCGCAGCTTGCAGTAGCCCCCCTCGTAAATGCAGTGAGACCAGCCCACATGCCTTGGCTTACCTCACACACCCCCTCACCACCGTTCTTCACACCCCACCACCGTGCCTCACACCTCACCTTGACGTTAAGATCAGTGTGGCGGGAGAAGGAGATGCGCAGCTTGCAGTAGCCCCCCTCGTAGATGCAGTGGCCCTCCAGAGCATCCTTGGCTGATGTGGCCGCTGCTATGTCTGCAGCATCGGAGAGTGGGGGAATGGGTGTGGCACATAGGACAGTAGAGAACAGCGTTATTAGGAAGTTGTGGGGGAGACAGCAGCTTGCAGTAGCCCCCCTCGTAGATGCAGTGGCCCTCCAGAGCATCCTTGGCTGAGCTGATGTGGCTGCTGCTATATCTGCGGATTGGAATGGAGGGGAGTGCGCACGGTGGGATGGGTTTACACAGCAATGCAGTAGCCCCCTCGTGGATACAGTGCCCGTCCAGAGCACACACACAGCAGATGGAGAGTGGGATGGGATGGGATGGGATGAGTGTGGTGTGGCATACACCAGTGCACAGCCTTATCAAGACGCTCCGAACCAACAACCTTTGCATGAACCTGGAAATCTGCTGGGCATAAATCTGGGAATTAGCCTGGGAACGGACCTGTCGATCAGCCTGGGAACGGACCTGGGAATCAGCCTGGGAACGGACCTGGGAACTGCACAAGCGCCTGAAATCCAGCACTCTTCTCAAAGATGGCAATCTTCTGCACCGCGCCGTATGCTGAGAAGACCTGGTGGTATGGCATGCAAGGAGAGGGGGTGGGAGAGAAGAGAAAAAAGCAGGGAGGGGCGGGAGGTGGAGACACTGAAAGATGGCAATCTTCTGCACCGCGCCATATGCAATCTGGACAGGCAATTTGCTGCACTGAAAGGCATATGCTGAGAGACAGTGGACAGGCAATTTGCTGCACTGAAAGGCATATGCTGAGAGACAGTGGACAGGCAATTTGCTGCACTAAAAGGCATATGCTGAGAGACAGTGGACAGGCAATTTGCTGCACTAAAAGGCATATGCTGAGAGACAGTGGACGGGCAATTTGCTGCAGTAAAAGGCATATGCTGAGAGACAGTGGACAGTGGCGTGGATAAGGGAGACAATAGGAGGGGGAGTATAGAGAGAGCGGGAAGAGGGTAACACAGTAACCACTGAGTAGGTAAATTTCCAACATGACCGTGCTTATGCTATGCTCTCCACTGGGAACAAGAAATTCCTTGTGTGTTAATAACCAGAGTGCAAGGATGACTCACGGTTTGAAGAGATGACTCACGGTGCAAAGCGGTGACTCACGGTGTGCAGCACGTCCATGGTGACGGGGTACTGCATGTTCTCTACAGAAGCCAGCAGCAAGCAGTCACATGATATGGGGTGTACCACGGTGACACATGGTGTGCAGGGATGACCGATGGTGTCAAATGGTGCCAAACGGTGACCAGGGGTGACTCACGGTGTGCAGCACGTCCATGGTGACGGGGTACTGCATGTTCTCAATCGAAGCCAGCAGCACGTTGCTGCCTGCTTCGCCCTTCACTGCTGCCACGGGGCCTGGGGTTAGCTGGTAAGGCCACAGGGGTGAGAGGCGGTGGGGGTGGGGGAGAGTAAAAAGAGAAAGGTCAAACGCTGAATGTTCTCAATAGACGCCAGCAGCACGTTGCTTCCCGCTTCGCCCTTCACCGCTGCTACAGGCCCTGGGGTGAGCTGGTGAGGGCACAGGAATGGGGGGGACGGATTAAAGGGAGAGAGTCAGAGACTGCATGTTCTCAATAGACGCCAGCAGCACGTTGCTACCTGATTCGCCCTTCACTGCTGCAACAGGCCCTGAGGTGAGCTGGTAACGGCACAGGGGTGAGATTCAACACAAAGAAGGGACGAAGCGTCCAGCAGCACTGATTGCCCATGCGATAAAAGTGATGTTTTGAGATGTCTCAAAACTGATTGCCCACGGGCTAGTCAGCAGCGCTCCTTCTGCCTGGTTCGCCCTTCATTGATAAGAACAAAGCAAAGCAAATAGAAACAGGTGGGCGAAAGGAGTGTTGGGAAACCACAAGGAAGAGAGCAGGAGAGAAGGGGGACGGTAGATGAAGGACACAGGGCGTGTGTTTTACGGCAGTCACACTAGTACCTGCACTCCTGCATCGGTGGCGGAGGAGGAGACGGGGAGGTAGGGGTTGGTGTAGTCTCTGCCTGGATGCATTTTTTTTTTAAAACTATTTTCTTTCTTTTAAGCCGCACCTGCACGCCGGCGTCAGTGGCGCCGAGGAGGAGACGGGGAGGTAGGGGTTGGTGTAGTCTCCTGTATTGTACCTGATGCAGATTTTTTTACTTTACTTCTTTCTCTTAGGCCGCACCTGCACGCCGGCGTCGGTGGCGGAAGAGGAAACCGGGAGGTAGGGGTTGGTGTAGTCGCGGCTGCAGTGGCTCTCAACCAACACCTAAATTCCACCCCTCTACCTGCACGCCTTACACAACGCACCTGCACGCCGGCATCGGTGGCGGAGGAGGAGACGGGGAGGTAGGGGTTGGTGTAGTCTCTGCCTGGATGCATTTTTTTTTTTTTTTTTAACTATTTTCTTTCTTTTAAGCCGCACCTGCACGCCGGCGTCGGTGGCGCCGAGGAGGAGACGGGGAGGTAGGGGTTGGTGTAGTCTCCTGTACTTTACCTGATGCAGATTTTTTTACTTTACTTCTTTCCCTTAGGCCGCACCTGCACGCCGGCATCGGTGGCGGAGGAGGAGACGGGGAGGTAGGGGTTGGTGTAGTCGCGGCTGCGGTGGCTCTGAAACTTGACGTTGAGGTCCGTGTGGGCCGAGAAGGAGATGCGCAGACTGCACGCCTGCACGTGCTCCGGGAGCAGGTAGCTGGGGGTGTGGGGAAGGGTGGGGGCAGGAGAGAGAGAGAGAGGGTGGCTCTGGAACTTGACGTTGAGGTCCGTGTGGGGCGAGAAGGATATGCGCAGACTGCACGCCTGCACATGCTCTGGGAGCAGGTAGCTAGGGGAAAAGGGGGGTGAGAGAGGAGGGGTGGGGGGAGGGGGGAGGAAGAAGAAGATTCTAAAATGGTGACCGGTAGGGTAGACATGTTATTCTTTTCATCTCTCACAAAATTATTTGTTCGCATTTTTGTGACTGGTAGGAAGCATGAACATGTGAAGGTGCGCTGAGCTTACCCACCTGGGAATGCTCCTGCCGTCCAATGAGGTCTTGGCGCTATTGGCAGTCTCCGGGTCTCCGTACTGCACCAATGCCTGCACGGGCCGTGGGAGGAGGAAAAATTGGAACAACCAAACGTGAGTCAACTCAACACCACGTTGGTTGATTCGACAGGGTTACATGGCGGCCCGTTGACCCCAAGTCCTCTGGTCTGGATGGACATGACAAGACCAGTCTAGATTGATTGAGAGATGTTGCTGGGCTTTAAGCCTTGTCACAGACTGCCTGTCACGGACCTGAAAGCCGGCACTCTTCTCAAAGGTTGCAATCTTCTGGACAAATCCGAATGCTGAGAAGACCTGCGATTCGAAATGCACGGGAGAATTTGCAGCAGGAGACGGAGGAGGAGAGGAATGTATTTTCCAACACAGATTGAAAGATTATGCGTACCATTCAAAGCAGTTCATATCTAATAGAAATTCTGACACACGGAAGCACACACAGCTGAATGCGAATAAGAACAAAGACAGAACTGCAACTGCTAAAGCAAAAAAAAGAAGATACAAACAAACTACAACGGAAGTGCTTCCAAAATGTGTAAATTAGCAATTTTCAATATCAAAAGCCTAGGAGATCATGCAACAAGAAGGTGCAAATGCACGAGCACATATGACACAAAGAAAAGCTGCTAATTCAGCAGTGCTAAGCTTCCCAGCTACGAGTGGCACGACGAGATGCAGACTCCCTGAAACCGATTAGCACAAAAAATATGGGGGTTGGGTTGAGTTGAGTAGGGTTGGAATGGGTTGGGTTGGGTTGGTTGAGTTTGGGTTGGGTTGGGTTGGGTTGAGTTGAAAAGGGGGGTTGGAGAAAAGGTTAGGGAGGGTGAGGAGGGCGGGCAGGTCAGAAAAGGTTATGAGGACAAACGGTGAGATCAGAACGGATCTTGCTGAAATTCGCATCGCTCGTGCGAGGGAAGATCTGAGCCGTTCACTTCAGTGAGAGGATGATAAGCCTGCACACGGAGAGGGTTTTGGCGGCTCATTAATTTCTCTGCAAAACAGAACAAACCTTTGGCCATGTGGTATCCCAGTGCTCGCCTTGAAAGGAAGAGGAATGAGAGAGGAGGGGGAGTGAGAGAGGAGGAGGAGGAGGAGGAGGAGGAGGAGGAGGAGGAGGAGGAGGAGGAGGAGGAGGAGGAGGAGGAGGAGGAGGAGGAGGAGGAGGAGAGGGACGACAACAAAACGTCAAAGAGGAACGAGACAATCCAACGAGAAATACCTGGAAAACCCACCTGCACGTATCAACACCATAAGTTGCTATGCTATGCATGTCGTTATTACGCACGAGCACACAATTTTATACGAGTACACCTCCACAAAAGGCACGCTTACCAGGTGAAGCACGTCTATAGTCACGTCGCCAGCCTCAACCCCCTCTATAGTCACAAGCAGGACATTCCCGGAAGTGGAATCGCCGGTCTTGTTGGAGGTGGTGATCTCCTGCCGCGTCGAGTACTGCAGGTACACCGCCTTCCCCCGAACCTGCGCCGGCTCGGATGACGACGCGTAGTATGATACCATGGCGATGGCTTGGTTCAGATCCGCCTGGGGGAAAGAGGGACGGGGGTTCAAGAAGAGGAATCGCCAGTCTGTTTTGAGGGACGATGAGGCGTAGTGTGGGACCATGGCGATGGCTTGGTTCAAATCCGCCTGAAAATTGGGACACACGGAAGGGGGGCACGACACATTGTAAGGCACACCGCCCGCCTTCCCGCGGACCTGCGCTGGCTCGGATGACTAGGCGTGGTATGATACCCATGGGGATGGCTTGGTTCCGATGGTTCAGATCCGCCTTTAGGGAAACGGCGAAGATTAGTGAAACGAATTGCCATTTTGAAGCAGCAAGATCGCACTTGGGGAATGCTACCATGCCAAGAAGAAGCAGGATGTTAAAAAGAAGCGGAATGTTATCAATAAGAAGCGGAATGTTATCAATAAGAAGCGGAATGTTATCAAAAGAAGCGCGATGCTACCAGGGCGAAACGGAATGCTATCGGGACAAATCGGAATGCCAGCTGGACGAAACGGAATGGTATCAGGAAGAAACGGAATGCTGTCAGGACCAACTTACGTCCTCGACGAATTACGAACTAAGGCAACTTACGAATTCGACGAACGCCTGGTTACGATTGGCGCCGACGCTGGTCTTGGTGTTGACGACGCGGCCGAAGGGTTTGCAGAGCTCTGCTAACTCTTCCTCCGTGGCTTCCCAAGGCAGGTTGCGCACGTGCAGCACCTTCGACGGCGGTTGCGAGTAGCGGAACTGCGGCTGACCCGCCGCCATCGCCGACGCGCTCATGGCGCGATGCGGCCGACCCGGCCCGGCACGTGACTCGTGAAGGTAATGCGGTCAACAGATGCTTGCGATTCGGTTTGCAGGTGATGCGGGAAGGAAACGAGTCGATGTATGATCACGGAATTTCTGTAAGACTCAAAACGTCAAGCTAGGGTTGTTGACCTGCAGACTGAAGACTAACCAAAGGAGAGTCGACGATTGTTAGGAACCATGAACACATTAGGTTCCCGAGAACCAAGGATTAGGGGATGTTCCAGAAGTTTGCCTGAAGGCTGAGTAGGTTCTTCTCGTTTCAGAGCGGTGAAAATACTTTCCAGGGATTCCCCCAACAATAACGCCCCTAGATATTGTTGAGCCAACCTTCACAGTTTTACCCCTGTATAAGATCATTCACTTGCAACACATTTCCGCTCATTCACTCACAAATGAATACAATTTGCCGTCACATTTTCAAATATCAATGATCCTGTTTCCAAATGCGCCATTCTTGCTCCCTTTGTTTCCGCTGACAGCTAGCGCAGCATAAGAGTGAGCCGCCGCTGCTGAGCATCCAACCGTGGTGGATCAGCATTTAGTCGACGCGCCGCGACCATCACCCAGATTCCTCCAGCACGACGTAGATCGCCATAACTGTCGACCATCTCTCCCATGGCATCGCGCCGCCTAGCTTCGCTTCTCGCCTCTGCAGCCACGCGGCACAGACCTCGGCCAATCACGAGCTGCCAGCACACCATGCCAGCTGTCATTTCCTCCCACTCGACCTCCCCTGGCGCTGACGTGTCTTCCTTTCCCGGGAGCCCTAGGCACTACAATCTAGTTCCCATGGTCGTGGAGCAGACGCCACGTGGCGAGCGTGCATTCGACATATTTTCGCGGCTGCTCAAGGAGCGGATCGTGTGCGTGAACGGCGCGATAAGCGACGACACGGCGTCGCTGGTGGTGGCTCAGTTACTGTATTTAGAATCAGAACACCCTGAGAAACCTGTAAGTCCTGGTCGATTACGCCTTTTGAACGTGATTTTACACGACTGTACGTGTGCATGCACTTGTTCTGAGACATCTTTTAACGCGTCCACGCAGGTGTACATGTACATAAATTCTCCTGGCGGTCTGGTGACAGCAGGCCTCGCCATATACGACACCATGCAGGTGAGTGCGCACGTGAGTGTGCAGGTAAATGTTCAAGTGAGTGTGCAGGCGAGTATGCATGCGGGTGAGTGTTCAGGAGAATGCGCAGGGAGTGTGAAGGCGAGTGTACAGGTGAGCACCGAGCATGCGAATGAGTGTACAGGTGAGTGTTCAGGTGAGTATGCAGGTGAGTGTTCAGGTGAATGTGCAGTTCAGAGTGTGGTGTGGTCGACACCATTCATGGCGCTGCTCGCTATTCGCAAGGCAGCCCTTTATTCGCTAGCCTCCTCCAAACAGTCCTTCAAATCCCCCCTCCCCTTCCCCCAACCGGTACATCCAGAGTTCAGTGAGTACCCAGTTACCCAGTAGTTGACTCTGGCCTCGCCTTCCCCTTTTCCTCCCAACCCCCCTCCCCCCCACCACCAGTACATCCAGTGTCCAGTGAGCACTCTCTGCGTGGGCCAAGCAGCCTCCATGGCCACGCTGTTATTCGCAGCAGGGGAGGCGGGGCAGAGACGATCCCTACCCAATGCACGCTCATGGTGCACCAGCCATCAGGGGGCGCTCAGGGGCAGGCCACGGATATTAAATTCCTTCTCCCCTCTCTCTCCCTTCTTCTCCACTCTACCTCAACACCAGTACATCCAGTGTCCAGTGAGCACCCTATGTGTGGGCCAAGCAGCCTCCATGGCCACACTGTTACTCGCAGCAGGGGAGGCGGGGCAGAGGCGCTCATTACCCAACGCACGGCTCATGGTGCACCTTCTTCCCCCCCTTCCTGCCCTCTCCTTCCCCCACCACCAGTACATCCAATGTCCAGTGAGCACCCTATGTGTGGGCCAAGCAGCCTCCATGGCCACACTGTTGCTCGCAGCACCCCCACACTCAATGTGCTGTTCTTCCTTTGCCTTCCCTTCTGCCCCTCCCCCCAACACCAGTACATCCAGTGTCCAGTGAGCACTCTCTGCGTGGGCCAAGCAGCCTCCATGGCCACGCTGTTACTTGCAGCAGGCGAGAGGGGGCAGCGACGCTCGCTGCCCAACGCACGGCTCATGGTGCACCAGCCGTCAGGGGGCGCTCAGGGGCAGGCCACTGATATTGCCATACATGCAGAGGAGATTATCAAGACTAAGGCCCGGCTGAATGGGCTCTATGCAAAACACACCGGGAAGGAGATTGATGTGATTGGTGAGTGGAGCTACGTCTGATCGTTTCCATTTCTTTTGTTGGTTAGGCTTGTCGTGCCTGCTTTTCACATAACTGTCGCACAATTTACCACACGCCTTTTGCCTCGTACAAATGCCCGTGTAATGTAACCTGCTTTGTTTCTTGTTCCAGCTGAGAGCATGGAGAGGGACCGCTTTATGAGCCCTACAGAGGCACTTTCATTTGGGCTTATAGACGAGGTGATAGACAAAAGACCTGCAGCATTGGTCACAGATGGTGTCAAATGATAATGTGTTTCTATAACGCTTTTGTACTTGGTCCACTCCTCAGATGTTTCTGTATTTTTTTAGTGGAAATGAATTAACTAATCTTATTAGTGAGATTTAGATTAACTAGTGTGAATGGTCATAATTTCTATCGGAAGAGGTAGGTAGTGTGGGCGAATTTCAGAAACTGACCCTACTGTAAAGCGAATTTCTCGGCTCCACTGGCAGAATGGCGGCTGTCCTTGATTTCTACCTGAGGTCGTTTCCAGGTGCCTTTTCCGCTCTGCGCAATAGTAATTCAGGTGGAACGCATAAGCGGTAAACAGATTCCCACCTTCCACATTGCGATCGCACGCAATCGCACAGTTTCGTGAGGAAGTTCGCCTTCAGACGAGCGACGTGATCTCGTCAATCACGCCGCCCACCGCTTCGCAACATGCGGCTTTTGCGATCGCAATTGAGCAGTGGACGCTCTTCAATGGCCCAGCTTTCCAGTCAGGGTGCCACGTGTGCAACGGTGACACGAACCAGCGCCCTACACTAGCCCCTAACTTGCGCGACTCGCTCGATTGCGCGCTTCGAGATCTGCATTTGGTCAATGGTTACAATACCGGGGCTTGCTGGCCTGGCATCTTCTCCTTTGTCAGCTAACCGATTCGAAAACGTCTGTGCTACTTTTGAAACAATTCTGAACGAGCCTAACCGTACTCACGCGTCCAGCAGAAACAGCATCCCCAGCAAACCCTGGATCAGGGGCTATTATCGAAGGCAGAGGACGACAGAGGACGATGTGACACTACTGCGTGGGGCAGGGTGCCACACCCCACGCCACTCCGAGTGCCGTTTTGCTCTTTGGGGCTACTTACGCTGCATTACATAGAAGCTCGTCAGGCGAACTAGCTAGCCAAACCGCACCGCTCTCGAACCGCCGCAAAAAGACCGAGAAGATTCTTTTGCTGGGAATGTAGGACCTGGAGGAGGATATTGTGAATGATTTCGATGATCTATGGTCACGGCTACTTTGATCAACGAGGGTCGGGGCAATACGTAGGAAATTGCACAATCCGTCTCGCGGAGAGCTGCTCTGAAGTTCACGAGCTACGATTCAATACGTGCCGTTGATCATAGCTTTACGTTTTAACGGCCGCGCTGTTTGACTCACCTTTTTTACAAATCAGCGAGAAGCCTCGCAATGCCGCGGTATTCTGTCTTCCCGTCGCATTCCGTCCGTTTGACGACGGCGTGTGTAGGAACCCTCATTATAGCGCTCGTGCACGTGTCGCTGCGCGCCAGCGCGTCGATACAGGACCTCGTGACGGCGGCCGGCACGGGGTCGCAAGGGTTCGGATTCACGGGGAAAGCGACGGCCACGTACTACGGCGGCGGATTAGACGGTACGTCTGGTGGGCTGTTAGAAAAAGAGGAACGAGAGTCAATGCCTTTGCAGCATCCCACACCGTAGCGACCACGGCCACGTACTACGGCGGCGGACTGAACGGTACGTCTGGTGGGCTGTTAGAAAAACAGGAGAGAGGCAGCACGCATTGCATTGTATTGAGCTACTGTTAAGGCGATGTCCGCCTGGCGACGAGATTTTCCTTTGCAGCATTCCATACCACGTCCCTTACGGTGGCATTAGTAACTTATGGTATTCAATACGCCATAAGTTACGGCGGCGGTACTGACGGTACGTAGGTCGCAACGCAATGCACCTACTGTAAAGGTGATGTCCGCCTGGCAGCACGCATTGCATTGCATTGAGCTACCGTCAAATTGTAGCTCGTGTGCTCGTCACATCCCTTGGTTCGATCACCCACGACAGCGGTGGCTTCGGCGCGTTGCGTCGCGTTCCGCGACGGATGATGGCAGCAGCTACGGTAACGCGGTGATCTCGTAACAGATGGGAGCTGTATTTGGGATTGAGGTGCCTTAATGCGGTCCTATTGGTCCATATTGCTGCTGTCTGTTGCCCCGTGGTGCGTGCAGGCGGCAATTGCGGCTTCGGCAACATTATGGCAGCGGGGTATGGCCCCTTGACTGCGGGCGAGTTCTGAGATGCTTCAAACATGCCATCATCTCTCTCTCGATTGCCCATGTCTCCTCCAAATCCTCGTCGTCCGTGCAGGCGGCAATTGCGGCTTCGGCAACATTCTGGCGGCGGGGTATGGCCCCTTGACCGCGGCCGGCAGTGTGATGCTCTACAAGGACGGCCACGGCTGCGGCAGCTGCTACAGGTGAGAGCCGCGCTACGTCCGTGCTACGTCCGTGCTGAGTAGAAGGTGCGACGTTGTATTAGAGTGAGGAAGGTGGAGCTGCCCCATGTGCGTGCACTTTGCACAATCAACCCACTTGTGCTACTGCCCCACGGCAGGGTTCGGGGTTTGGGCTGTCCGTAAAGCAGAAAGGGCGTGCGCATCACAGTGACCGTCTCATTTCATTTGAAGGCACCTTTGAATCGATTCAAAAGCCTTCTTCCCCCTGGCAGGGTTCGGTGTGTGGGCTGTCCGCAAGAATGGCGTACGCGTCACAATGGCCGTCTCATTTCATTTTCGCCCTTCTCCTCTTCCCCCCTGTCCTTCCTACAGAGTACGATGTGTGGACAGCCCGTATTGCAAGAAGGGCGTGAGCATCACGGTGACCGTCACGATTAAAGGCACCTCACTTTCATCCGAACCTTTTTCACCCTTCTCTTCTTTCGCCTCCCCCATGGCAGAGTACGATGCGTGGACAGCCCGTATTGCAAGAAGGGCGTGAGCGTCACAGTGACCATCACGGACCAGTGCCCTGCGGGTGGCCCGCGTGTAAGCACTTCCCACATTTAAGCCACTTGAGCTCCTCTTTCCTCTCCCCCTTGGCAGGGTTCGGTGTGTGGACAGCCCCTACTGCAAGAAGGGCGTGAGCATCACAGTGACCATCACGGACCAGTGCCCTGCGGGAGGGGGGTGGTGCTGCCCCTCGTGTGTGCACTTCGACCTCAACATGGCCGCATTCAACCTCATCGCGGAGCAAGTGGCAGGGCACGTGCCACTCGTGTACACCAGGTAATGACCCTTACGTGTAACCCAACTGCCACTGACATATGTGGATAGCAGTAGGCTTATGCTGCCCCACATGTGTGCACTTCGACTTGAACATGGCCGCATTCAACCTCATTGCGGAGCAAGTGGCGGGGCACGTGCCACTCGTGTACACCAGGTAACTGCAACCTCAACACCCCTTTGGGTACTGGGGTTTCTGTGCTTTGGGTTCGCTGTGCTTTGGGTTCCACGCCTGCCGGCTCTGACTTCTGCCCCCAGGATCACCCCATTTGCACCCATCACCACCGCATTCCACCCCATTGTTTCCCCTTGTTGCTTGTCCTCGCCCCTGCAGGGTGCCATGCACGTTCAACCGCAACATCCGCCTCACACCCACCGGCTCTGACTTCTGGATCAACCTGCTCGTGCGCAGCATGTGATGTGACCCCATTACCACCGTCTCACTTCCGCACCACTGTTCCCACCCCATTCCATTCCCACTACCCCATTCCCTATTCTGCAGAGTTCCCTGCACCTTCAACCGCAACATCCGCCTCACACCCACTGGCTCCGACTTCTGGATCAATCTGCTCGTGCGCAACGTGGCGGGCCCTGGAGACCTGGCATCTGTCCACGTGGCAGAAGCAGGATCCGCCACGTGGAAGCCCATGGAGCATGACTGGGGCGCCGTGTGGGTGCACCGAACGTACCTCAAGTCGCCTCTTAGGTTCCGACTTACCTCTTTAATGGACGGGCAGGTCGTGGAAACGCCTGGCCCATGCCTCCCTGCGGGGTGGGTAGCAGGAAAGGACTATGACTGTCAGGTGCAGTTCTCTGGAGGAGGTGGGGGAGGGGGAGGAGCAGGGGGAGCAGGGGGAGCAGGGGGAGCAGGGGGAGCAGGGGGAACTGGGGGCGGCTGGGGAGGTGGCGGAGGTGGGGGAAATGGGGGCGGGGGCAACAGCACAGGGGGGGATAATGGGTGGAGTGGCGGGGGGGAGAGTGAGGGGAATTCAGGAATTCTCCCACCTAAGAACAAGAAGATTCCTCCTCCCAAGGGTGCTGCTCCTCCAAAGAAGGTCCCTCCCGGTTCCGGGCAGCCGAATGATGGGAATCCGAAAAAGAGCCCTCCCTCTTCAGGGCAGCCGAATAAAGGGAGTCCAAAAAAGGGCTCCCCCCCTTCAGGGCAGCCAAATAAAGGGAGTTTTAAGAAGCTCCCTCCATCTTCAGGGCAACCGAATAAAGGGAGTCCAAAAAAGCCCCTCCCTCCTTCAGGGAAGGTGAATAATGGGACTAAGGCGAATAAAGGGAGTCCAAAAAAGACATCTCCTGCTCCAGGAGCCCCAAGAATGGGACAAAGGCTAACAGCCCTCCAAAGAAGACTCCTCTCTTTCCTGGAAAGACGAAGAATGGGACAATGACGCCTTCCCCTCCAAGTTCAGGTGCTCCCTTACCAGGGAAGGCGAAAAATGGTGGTAAAGGTAAAAAATCCAGCCCTCCCAAGAACGGCCCACCGTCACATGGGAAGATGGACAGTGGGACGAAAACGCCCAACCCCCCGTCGACAAACTCTTTATTTCCTGGAAAAGCTGGAAGTGGGGGGTAAGAGTAGCGGTGGACGAGGTGCGGCTACAGCCGGTGGTAGTGTTGGGAATGAGGGCATGGGGCAGGAGGGGGGCTCACAAAGACGAGGTTCCATTTTACAGCATCGTTTGCTCAGAATAACAAGTCTGATAACGGTAAAACGAGAAGCCCATGCTAGGTGTTTCCTTGACACCTTAGCAAGTGCAGCCTTAGGAGGGACTTTAATTAGAAGGTTATAAGTAGGTATGCTATCATGTATTGTTAGGGAAATGAATCAATGTTAGGCAGGACTAGTATCAAAAGCCAAGCTTTTTGAAGTGTTTTGAAAGCTAGTAATTATCAGACCTCATGTTTTCAATTTCATGTTTATGGAAAAAGCTCGTGAAATCCCAAGTTGTGGTGCTGTTTGGGAAAGCGCCATTGATTGATCCCATCGCATCACCCGCCATTCCCAAAGCTCCTCTTGACTGCTCATCTGGCACCCCCTTTTCCCCTCGTGCTGCCGTCACCTCCACCCGCTGCTGGATGGTTCTCCGACTTTTGGGTTTATTTTACTCGACCCTGTTTCTGTCCTCCTCGTACTCTGCTAAGCTTTCTCGTGAACTTAGCCGATCCGTGTGATTTGACCTTCATCTCGTGCGTAGCTTCTCCTCCCATTCTGAAGCCTATCGAGCTGGGAGGTCGTGACTGGAGCCTAGGTCTTGATCGCAGGCTCCAGGTGATAATGAACTGTTAGTTCCTTCCGTCCGAGTGAAAGCTTTGCTGTTTGCACGTCAACTGCTTTAATACCTTCCAGATCAGCTCTAGTGTGTGAGGACTGTCGGAGAGCAGTGAGAAGATCCACGGTCGACATTAGGGTTGCCGGATAGCCGTCAGACTCTGTGTGTGTGGGTGAATGCTGTCTGAGAGCGTTTTTTCACGAATTCGCTGAGATCCGAATGCACGGGAAGCAGAATTCGGCCGCGAGAGCATTGACACTGCGGGTAGACTGAATGTTCTCGCAGCCGTTGCGCATACGATCGCCGCCGAACCGCTCCTCCTCGGATCGGAAACAATCCTCATGGCTCTCTAGCCGTTTCACCGGCTCTGCGGGCTCGGCCGGGAGGCCAGCAGCAGAAGGAGGATTAGCGAGCGAATCTGTTGCTGCTGGTAACCCGAAGTCTCCCCTTTCGCGCGGAGGTCGATCGCCCGCGGGCTCTAAGCTCCCCACGAGTAAGCCCAGTCTTAGCGACGATGACGGCCCTTCGTTTGAGTCACCTTCGGCAAGGTCACCCTCATCCCCGTCACCGCGCTCCCCGTCCCTCGGCAATCCGCGCGCGTCAGCGTCGAGAGCGGCGAAAACGTTGCCGCATATTCCGCCGCCTTCGCACGGATGGACCAATTACCGAGGCGGATTCAGCGTCATAGGAAATACCGGCGGTTTTGCCGCCACCACCAGCAGTAGCACCAGCAAGGGTGTGAGCGCGAGAAGCCGCAAGGGCGGCGGATATGGCGGAGATTCCGCCTCTGGGGGGATTTCACCGGGGCCTAGTAGCCCCTGGAGGCGCGCGGGTGCGAGCGGCGGCAATAGCGGCGGCAGCGTCGGCTCTCGTTTACAGAACATCCTTCTCGTTATAATCCTCTTCCTGTGCTCCAACTTCGCGGGTCACTACTACCCGTTCCTGTGGTCCCCCGCCGCGCGCGCTTCCGCCGTCCAATCCCTGCTCTCCACGCGGCAGCACCTGCCGGATATCCGGACGGGCCGGGGGGGGCGCGGCGGCGTGGGAGACGAGAGGAACAGCGACGGAAGCATGATTCTGAGCGAGGAAGGCAGGAGGAGCATCATGGCGCTAGCAGCGACGGACGGGCTGCGGGGGACGGCGGAAGGGGAGATCGGCGCGCAGCGGCTGGGCGGAGGGTTGGGCGGAACGAACGGCGCGGGGGGAGGGGTTCCGCGGCGGCCGTGGCAGTCGCGCTTCGTGCAGGACGTGCGGATCGACGTGGGCCGCGAGCCGCTGTGTGCTGACATCGTGCCGGATGAGTTCAGAGAATCCACAGAGCGAATGTGAGTCAGTCTTTTGTAAGGGGACTGAAAACTATTGTATTGCGCTGTGCCCCAAATGTGTCCCATGCTCTTTTGCTTTTCCGATTGTGTGTCTTACTCCCGCACCACCTCCTCCCAGTTCCAGCCCACCTCCTTCTCTTCTTCTCTCGCATGAAGCTTCATCTCCTTCTCTGCTCCTTTCCAATACCAGGCCGCCAGTCACCTCTCTGCTCGACCTGCTCCGCCCCAACGAGCGATTCCTCGCGTTCCTCCCGCGGCACGGCCTTGGGAACTCCCTGCGCGGGTTCGTCTCCGCGTTCGTCTACGCCAGCCTGGCGGGGCGGCGGCTGGTGCGCGTGCACGCAGGGGAGCACGCGCGCGTGTACGACCTGCTCTGCCAGGCGCATGGGTGTAGCTTCGATGCTGTGGGGCAGCCCGGAGGGGTGGATCGCGGTGGGGAGGAGGATGGGAGCGGTGGAGATGGTGGGGGTGGGGAGGGCGAGGAGGGGGAAGTGGGAGGTGGAGGGGAGAGGAGGAGCGTGGGAGGAGGATTAGGGGATGGAGGGGACGGGAGAGGTGTAGGGGCAAGAGAGGGAGCAGGAGTTGGGGAGGCGAAGGGAGCGCGGAGAGGGTTGATGGGGGATGTGGGGGCGGAAGGGGCGGAGGGGATAGTGAGGAGTGCGAGTGAGGGGCGCAGTGGGACGGGCGTTGAACTTTTGAGGAAATTTGCCATGCTGCGACCCATCTACTTTCTGGAGAGATACCAGAACATTCAAAGTAAGGTGCTTTCAAGGGAGGGTGGAGGGTGGGGTGTGGGGTTTTCAAGGGGAGGTGCATTCAACATTGGAGGGGCAGTGTTGTACAAGTTTGCTTGCCATGCTGCGACCCATCTACTTTCTGGAGAGATACCAGAACGTTCAAAGTAAGGTGCTTTCTAGGTGGGCAAGGGGCTGAGAGGCGAGAGGGGGGAAGGGTTTGAGATGAAGAGGTTAAAAAGCGGGGAGGTGCATTCAACGTTGCAGGGGTGGTGTATCTTATGTTGCTGACGTGGTGGTATGTCCAACCGTCCAGGGGCGATGAACTGCTCTGCAATTTTTCCATGCTGAAATGTTCCTTTCATTTCCCCTACCTCTCCTCTTCCCTCCTCGTTCCATTGCAGCATCACTGTCTCTTTCCGTCTCAACACCCCCCCTCACATGGCCTTACCCACACCCACACCACCCCACCATACCCATCCCATCCCACCCTACCCCACCCATCCCACTCCACCCCGCCCCACCCCACTCGCCCAGCCATAGAAGCATCGCTGCAGTCTAGCTACCCTGTCTCTTTCCCTTTTTAACCCCACCCAACCCCTATCTCCACCCTACCCATCCCATCCCACCCCACCTCACCTCAACCAACCGCCCTTCACTCAACCTACCCCATCTCATCCCACCCTACCCCACCCCACTCCACCACACCCCACACGTTCAGCCATAGCAGCGTCGCTTCAGTCAGACTATCCTGTGCTCGCTACCCGCAGCGGCACATTATTCGACCTTTTCTGGCACCGCAGCGACCGCCTGCGCTCCTGCGTGTTTGCTTTTTGAACTCAGAACCCCACCCACCCCACCCCTTCTTACCCCTCCCCACACCTACAGCCATAGCAGCGTCGCTGCAGTCAGACTACCCCGTTCTTGCCACACGCAGCGGCACATTATTCGACCTTTTCTGGCACCGCAGCGACCGCCTGCGCTCCTGCGTCTTTGCTGCCTTCCATTGCTCGTGAGTCATTCAATCACGCTCGTGAGTCATTCAATCACGCTCTGAGTCATTCAATCACGCTCGTGAGTCATTCAATCACGCTCGTGAGTCATTCAATCACGCTCGTGAGTCATTCAATCACGCTCGTGAGTCATTCAATCACGCTCTGAGTCATTCAATCACGCTCGTGAGTCATTCAATCACGCTCTTGAGTCATTCAATCACGCTCGTTAGTTGCGCTGTATTCCATTGTTTGAGAGTCGCCCTCTGTTCCTTCCACGGCTCTTGTGTCCCAGTTGCCTTTGCTGCCCCCGCTCATATCTCACATCCTCTTATTGCTCATCCTCCTTGCAGGTCCGTGTGGTGCGTTCACTCCCGGGCCATGTTTGCGTTCCTCTCCCGCACCGGCCCCACTCCAGCCCTCGCCTCCACCATCTCCTCTGTCCTGCGCCGTGTGCCTTATAACAGCAGCAGCAGAGAAAGCAGCACCCAAGACACAAGCAGCACAGGCAGCAGCAGTAGCGTCAGGAGTAGCAGCAGCAGCAGTGACAGCTCAGCAGACCCAGCAGCTTCAGGTGCAGGTGCAGCAGCCTCATCAATCATCAGTGAGGCAGCACATGCGGGGCCCGAGATAGAGTTTGACGTGGGATTCCACGTGCGCACTCGCACACTAGCCCTGGAGAAAGTCGTTCGGCAATCAGGAGACACGTACCAAGACGCCGACTGCCAAGACCCTGAAGATTCACCTGAAGTCAGCACTAGCACCAGCAGCGGCACCAGCACCGGCAGCAGCACCACCAGCGCCAGTGCCAGTGCCAGTGCCACCTCTCCCCGACCCCGGTTCCTGCGCAACTGCCTGTGGGAGTGCATAGGCGGCATTCTCAGCACACTCCGTTCCATGCGAGACGACCTCCCCAGCACCAGCACCACGGATCCCTCTACCAGCAGAGACGGATTGAACAGCAGCAGCAGCAGAAGGAGCGGCGGCGATGACAGGGAGTTCTCCATCTTTCTGGCTACAGACGATGAGGAGCACCGTGCTGAGTTTGTCGCTCGGCTCGCTGAGTACGGCACTGTCTTCTTCTCCTCTGGAGGTATCTTCCACACCTCCAAGGCTGGCGGCAGCGCCAGCAGTGGTGGCACTGGCGGGAGTGGTGTGGGTGCAGGCACAGAGGGGGTGGAGAGCAGTAGTTTAGGGACGGGGACTGATGGCAGTAACCATAGGAGCACAAGCAGCAGCAGGGCTGGTGTGAATGGCACTGGCTATTCCAATGCCACTGTTCCTGGTAGTGTTGCACAGCGGTTCCCTACTATGGCTGAGTTCTTCCTGCTTTCAAAAGCTCGGACCATTATTGAAGCCGGCAGTTACATCAGCACGTTTGCATACTTTGCTGGGTTGCTAGGCAATGGGACTTTATCGAGTGTAGATATGAAGAACGGGCAGTGTAGACTGCACCATGAACATGTGGCTCAAGGCATGTTTGGCTGAAATATAAATTTCAACCCGATTCAGAGTTGGTATCTTTACAATGAAAACCATGCCTGAAAACTACCGCTCTGTAAAGAGGTATGGAAATCTGCTCCTCCTCCCGGGGAGGGCCTGGATTCAGCAGAAACATTTTTCATAACAGGCAGGAAAAATTCCACCAATTCACATGATGTAAAAAACAAGGTCACCGTGAGAAAGAGGTGTAGACGGGAGCGGATTCGTGTGCACAAAGGCAGTTGGAGATCCCAAGGTGCCCGCCACGCGGTACAGCCCCAGTGCAAGCGCATGCCTGGAGCGCAGCATGTCTATAAAGAGTTCCCCATATCCCCTCCCCACGAACTCGTGTGGGACCTCGCACTGCCACAGCTGCCGCCTGTGCTTCGGGTGCTGGTGGTGCTGGTGGGTGTGAGGGAGTGATTGTGCTGCTGCTGGGTGTTGCTTGGGTGTGGAAGAGGAGGACGGGAAAGCAGCAGATGGAGCACCAGAAGCAGTAGGAGCAGCAGGAGCAGCAGTGGTAGTAGCTGAATTAGCAGCAGAGGCAGCAGCACGAGTAGTGGCAGTGAGAGGGGGGACGGGAGGGCTCCCAGATAACAAGAGGTGCAGAATGGTGGAGATGTTGCGGTTGTAGAAGGTGGCCACACTGAAATGGGCGAACGCAGTGGGAACAGAAGGGTGGAAAAGAAGGTGCGAAAGGCAACCAGAAAGAGTGGAGCTGGGCAAATAAACGGTGAGGGGGGTGAGAGGCAAACAACAGGTGAATGACATTTTTTATGATCGTTCAGAACCGCAAGCCACAGAAAGGACTGCTGGAAACAAGGAGGTGCAGAGCGGTGAAAAAGAGAGTAGATGGTGGGGCTAAGGCGAACAGTAGGGTGGGGGAAAAGGGGCAGAAGGAGCGAAGCAGCAGCCTGTGGGTTCTAAAAACTTGTGTTGACAAGACTCACGAGACAGCAGGGAGAGCAGAGCTGCAGAAGGCCCTTCCGCTCTGGAAGACAGGAGCAAAGGCGTATACCCCCATCCTGTTCTGCAGATACTACCCAAGATTGAAAGCTCCGAATGTGTTGGGACACAACACTTACGAGACGGCAGAGAGTGCAGAGCTGCAGAAGGCCCTTCCGCTCTGAAAGACAGGAGCAAACGTGTATACTCCCATCCTGTTCCGCAGGTATGATCTCCTCTCTGCCCGCCACCCAGGCAGCAGATACAGTGGCTGGAAGTATTGATACGACTGCTCGCTCTGTAGCTCCACCAACAAACCACCTTTTCCCCTCTCCCCTTCATCTGCTGCTTCCCCGACCGCTTCCCCGCTTCCCCCGTCTGTTTCCCGCCCTCCCTGTAGCTGTTCCACGTGTGCTGCCACCACCACGCTTGCCAGGTCTGCTGACGGGCCTGAGGAGGAGGAGGAGAGGGAGGGTGACGTGGCGCCCGGCGATTGGTCCGGGGAGATGACGAGGACTTTTTCTGCGGAGAGGACGCCGGCGCGGATGAGGTCGAGGTCGTGAGTGGGGGAGCCGCAGATGAAGAAGACGTCCGGGAAGATTCCCACTTGGGCCCACTCGCGGTGGGTGGGGTGCTGTGATTTATGTGGGGGGAAGACGGAGAGGGGAGAGGGGAGAGAGGACACAGAGGAAAAAGACCACAGAGGACTCGAAATCGCGAGTGGGTGAACCACAGAGGAAAAAGACGTCGGAGAAGATTCCCACCTGCGCTCACTCTCTGTGAGTGGGATGCTGTGGGGTGTTGGAGGGAGGGAAGGGTAAGGAAGGCAGTGGCTTGAATGAGGTCGAGACCGTGGGTGGGCGAGCTCCAGAGGAAGAAGATGTTTTGGGAGAGATTCCTCCCTGTCTGAAGGTTTTATGAGCGCAAAGAAACGTACATGGGGGTGCATAACCAGCACGGGTCGTTGCGGCAGCGCCCTGCTCCTCAGATGCTTCACCAGGCAGAACAAATTCGCCGGCCACGCCACGACACCCCCGCCCTCCCCCCCATTCGCACCCCCCTCCTCCTCCCCGTCGTTATCACCCCCACCACAGCCATCGCTGCTGCTGCTGCCAGCGAGGCACACGAGGATATGAGGCTGGGCAAAGTCAGCAACGGGGAGGGTGTGGGAGTCTAGATGAGCCAGTATTGCCTCCTCGTGCCGATCTACCACCTCCACTGCTGGCCTCTCTATCTCCTCCTCCTCCTCCTCCTCCTCCTCTTCCTCTTCCTCTTCCTCCTCTTCTTCCTCCTCTTTCACATCCCCCGCCTCCTCTTTCGTCTGCGCTTCTCCTTTCTCGCTGCCTTCGTTCGTCCCCTTTCCATTTCCTTCTCCCTTCACCACTCGTTTCTCCTCTGAACCAGCCTTCGCTAGCAGGTGCAGGAACGGCTTATCCTGGGAAAACACTGCCGACTCTTCAGCAGTGGCGGCAGCAGCAGCAGCCTCAAAACCACCCTCCAGGGTTGTACCAACCCCCAAAGCGTTGTCATCAACCCCTTGCATGGCTGAAGGTTGGTGCAAGGGAAATGCGGATGCAGACAACGGTGCAGGGGCGGGCAGAGGTGCAGATGCACTCCCTTCCACTGCCCTTCTCGCCTCGATCCCCTCCTCTGTTATTCCCCATTCTTTCCGCCCCTCTTCTCCCTTGCCTCTCCCAACCATCAAACCCTGAATTTCCACGCCCATGCCTCTCCCCTGGTCGGTTTCTCCCCCATCCTCCTGCCCAGTACTCTGAAACCGCACTACCTTTCGCCTGCTGCTGCTGCTGCTGCCAGCCTCCCTTGCCCTCGTTATAAGAGGATTTGTTTGGGAAGACATACCTTGCTGCCCTCTTGATGCTGCTGCTGCCATTGTGCCTGACCCTGCTGTTGGTGGGGATGTTGGTGATGCTACTTGGTGGTGGTGGCGGTATCGAGAGAGCAGGGGTGTGGTGAGGTGACCGTCAGTGAAATGACTCTCATCAGCCATCAGATTCACACTCACGTCTCTTCCCAAACTCATGCCACCGGCACCACTAACACCACTAGCACCAGCACCACTAGCAGCAGCACCACTAGCACCAGCAACACTAGCACTTCCAGTGGCAGCAGCAGCTGGAGCCGAATCAGCCGCACCAGCTGCCCATCCCATCGGCCCTCTCTTCATCCACTCTTCCTGCACCATCTGAAACAGCGACCGTGCGTCCGCAGCAGCAGCCGGGGACGGCAGCAGCAGACGCGCGGCACGGCGCGAGCCGAAGAGGAAGGAGGAGAGGTGGCGGAAGATGGGGTTGGAGGCGCGTGCTGCTGCCAGTGCGGATGCTGTGAGGGGGTGGCGGTGCTGGTGGGTGATAGGGTGGAATAGCAGGGGTTGTGGCGGCTGGGAAATGAGCTGCTGCTGCTGTTGCAGTTGCTGTTGCTGCTGTTGGTTTTCACCTGTTGGCTGCTGCTGCTGCTGCTGCTGCTGCTGCTGCTGCTGCTGGTGGTGGCGGTGGTGCTGGCACTGATGCTGCTGCTGATGCTCCTTGCACAACCGCTTCCCATGCCCACCACCTTCACAGCCCCCTCTGCAACCACCGCCCTGTTTCTCCTCCATCCCTCCCATCCCTCCCTCTCTCTTCCTCCCCCAAATCCCCCACCGCGACTGCCTGCCCCCACCACTCCCCCCACCACCTCTCCCCCAAGAGCCACTCCCCTCGCCACCTCTCCCCCCGCTGTGCAATCCGCCTGTGAAAGCAGAAACCCTCTCAGCAGCATCGAGGCTGGGTGCAATCACTAGCCCCACATCTACAGAGCTGCGAATCATGTGCTGTGAGGGCAGCAGGAACACCCCCCGCTGGCACCCACACTCCAGCCCCACCCTCCCTGCTCTTCTCGCTCCCTTCTTTCTCAGCCCAAGTCCCTGCCTTACCTGCTGCTCTATTTTCCTCGCCATGCCACTGCCCCGCTTCCACGCTTTCCCCCTACCTGACCTGCTGCCTGCTGCTACCCCTGCCGCCCCTGCCCCTACCCGTGCTGCTTCTGCTGTTTCTCCTGCTGCGTCTGGTGCGTATGCAGCAGGGGCAGCAGAGGCAGCAGCGGAGGGGTTGAGAAGGAGATAGAGCTCCTCCTGGGGTTGGGAGAGCAGGCGGGTTAACTGGGGGAGGGGGTTACTGAGAGGCCTGGGAGGCCGGCTTGCCTTCTTCCCCACGTAGAAGCCTGGGGCTGCTTCCGCTGTTTTTTTGGTCGCCTCAGAACCTTTCGCTGCTGCTCCTGCTGCTGCTCCTCCTGCTGCTGCAGCAGGTGTTGCTGCTCCTTCTGCTCCTGCTGCTGCAGTTGGTGCTGCACGTGCATACGGTCCCTGCGGTGGCTTCGCTGTGGCCTCTGCCTCAGAGCGCCTGTGTCCCTCCTCCCCACCTCCACACTCCACACACTCCTCACACTCAAAACACTCTACACATTCCACACACTCCACACACTCTATACACTGAACACACTCCCCACCCCTCTCCACCCCTCCATGCGCCCCACACGGCTCCACGAGCACGTCAAGAGCAAAGAGGCACACATGAAAGCAGCGGTAAACAAACTCTGCAACCTCTTCAAAGGGCAGGCCGTGGAACGCGGGAGGGAGCAGCACGGGGTAGATGGAGTGCAGGCAGCCCGCGTGGTACTCTGGCAGCCATGCCTTGTGGCCCGGCGAGTCGAGCAGGAGCGGCGAGCGCAGCAGATTGGCTATCAGTGTGGAGAGGCCTCGCATGAAACAGCTGGGGGGAGGGGGGGGCAGGGGACGGGGAGGGGGAGAGGACACATGAAAGGGCTGGTGGAAAAATGGGGCAGGATCTTGGAAGGGGAAGGGTGGAAGGCGGGGGGGAGCAGCACAGGGTAGATGGAGTGCAGGCAGCTCGCGTGGTACTCTGGCAGCCATGCCTTGTGGCCCGGCAAGTCGAGCAGGAGCGGCGAGCGCAGCAGATTGGCTGTTAGCGTTGACAGGCCGCGCATGAAACAGCTGGGGGGAGAGGGGGGGCCGGGGCAGGGGATGGGGAGGGGGAGGGGGAAGGGGAGATGGGAAGGCACACATGAAAGCAGCGGTACACAATCTCCGCCACCTCTTCAAAGGGCAGGCCGTGGAAGGCAGAGGGGAGCAGCACGGGGTAGATGGAGTGCAGGCAGCCCGCGTGGTACTCTGGCAGCCATGCCTTGTGGCCCGGCGAGTCGAGCAGGAGAGGCGAGCGCAGCAGATTGGCTATTAGCGTTGAGAGGCCCCGCATGAAACAGCTGTGGAGAGGGGGAGGGGGAGGGGGAGGGGGAGGGGGAAGGGAAGGGGGAGGAAAAGGAGAGGGGAACGGGTGGGGGAAGGGACGAGGAGGGGGAGAGTCACATAACAACAGTCAGCATGATGAATTATGGGGTATTGACTCACGATACCCCCAATGTGGTGCAAACTCGCCTTCACTGAGACAGGTTGGCTGGCGTTGACTCACCCTGACTGCTGCGGTGGTGCTGACTCGTCATCAAAGCAAGTTGACTGGCGTTGACTCACCTGGACCCCAGCACATAGAAGCGCACGTGCATGCGGTGGGTGGCCGTGTCCCACACAAGCAGAGCTGCAGCCTGCGGCAGTTGAAGCGCCTAACAAGGCACTGACTCACCTGGACCCTTGATAACGTGTTGACTCACCTTGGCCCACGTTGCCCCACTCACCTGGACCCCAGGACCTTGAAGCGCAGGCTCTCATGGCTGAGCACGTGCATGCGGTGGGTGGCCGTGTCCCACACCGGCAGTGCTGCCGCCTGCTATTGCTGAGACGTGTCAAAATGTGTCGACTCACCTGGATCCCAGCACCTAGAGTGGCCTCACCTCGAACCCAGCACTTTAAACCGCAGGCTCTCATGGCTGAGAACGTGCATGCGGTGGGTGGCCGTGTCCCACACCGGCAGTGCTGCCGCCTGCTATTGCTGAGACGTGTCAAAATGTGTCGACTCACCTGGATCCCAGCACCTAGAGTGGCCTCACCTTGACCCCAGCACTTTGAACCGCAGGCTCTCATGGCTGAGCACGTGCATGCGGTGGGTGGCAGTGTCCTACACCGGCAGTGCTGCTGCCTGTGGGTCTTGAAGAGCCTAACAAGGTGTTGACTCACGTTGACTGGCGTTGACTCACCTGGACCCAAGGACCTTAAACCGCAGGCTCTCATGGCTGAGCACGTGCATGCGATGGGTGGCAGTGTCCCACACCGGCAGTGCTGCCGCCTGCTATTGCTGAGACGTGTCAAAATGTGTCGACTCACCTGGATCCCAGCACCTAGAGTGGCCTCACCTTGACCCCAGCACTTTGAACCGCAGGCTCTCATGGCTGAGCACGTGCATGCGATGGGTGGCCGTGTCCCACACCGGCAGTGCTGCCCCCTGTGGGTCGCCCATCTCCACCACCAGGCGAGATAGCGCCCCCGCATAGCGGTTCATTGCAAGGGCCTGCGCTATCTGAGCATTGTCCAGAGCACGCGACTGGGAGGGAGGCATGGAGGCAAAGAGGATGGCGGGTGCAGGGTCAGAGGGGAAACTCCTGCGGGTCGCCCATCTCCACGACGAGGCGAGACAGCGCTCCCGCATAGCGGTTCATTGCAAGGGCCTGCGCTATCTGCGCGTTGTCCAGAGCGCGTGACTGGGAGGGGGGGGTGGGAGGAGCAGCAGGGGAGAGGAGGAGACATAAGCAGGAGGCTATACACCACACCGGCAGTGCTGCTGCCTGTGGGTCCCCCATCTCCACTACCAGGCGTGACAGCGCCCCCGCATAGCGGTTCATTGCGAGGGCCTGCGCGATTTGCGCGTTGTCCAGAGCGCGTGACTGGGAGGGTGAGGAGAGAGTGGGGATGGGGGAGCAGCAGGGGAGATCAACAGGGTTGAGGAGGCCATACACCAGCAAGGCATGTGCCTGTGGATTGCCCATCTCCAGCACGAGGGGAGGAGCGAAGAGGGGGAACGGGAGGGGAGGGCGTACAGAGTGCAGCGGGACTCACGGATTGGAGCGACGGGAGGAGGATGAAGACGGCGGAGGCGAGGGCGATTTGCACGCGGTGCAGGTCGTAGAGCGTCATGGGCGAGCCCTGAATGAACCGCACTGCACCGTGGTATTCCGTGATTAGAGCACGCAGCTCAAAGCTGGGAAGGAAGGGGAGGGTGTGATAGAGGATGAGAGGGGGGAACAGGGGAAGGAAGTGATTGGTGTTGGGGAAAACGATGGGCAACACACTGAGATGATGCTGAATTGAAGCGGCAGAATGAAAGCTGCAAAATGAGCCATATGAGGGATAGGGAAGGGGCTTTTGAGGGGAAGGGCGCACTCACGATGGTTCAAAAGGCGCGAGAATGACGGTGTGCAGTGGGTAGGAAGCAAAGTCTGATGACAAGGGAAAACAAACACGGGCAGGGAAAAATGAGGGGAGGAACAATAGCCAGGGGTTGAGATTGTGAGGAAAGGTGATAATGATGGAAGGAAAGCATAGGGTGGATGTCACACTCTGTTATGTTGTGAGTGGCAAGCTTCGTCACGTAGTGATTGGTTGGCATATACCAGGTGTGCTAACTTTTGCCAAGCAGACAACTTTGTCGAATAGTGGGCGGGTACCTTTGTCATGTAGCGGGTGGTACAGCTCAGCGAGGAACTGCTGGATGGAGAGAGGGGAGAGCTGCCCTGTCAGCACCACAAACCGCATGCCCGTGGCGGAAGCTGCTGAGAACCTTCCACCGTAGGGCCTGAGCTAGGGAACAGAAACGGGAGTGGAGATTGTAAGATCTTTGATTGCAGCACCAAGAAGATTCCACTGTAAAGCCAATGCATAATGGCAAAGTGTGAGATTGGAACATGCCAGAGTGCTTGGTGGTGCTTCAAATGAGAACAGAACTGTAGATGTGATCGGACCGGGGTTGTGAATGCGAGTGTGACTGTAAGTGCGTGAAGTTGAGCGGATGGGTGTGTGAATGAAAGTGTGACTGTCAGTGCGTGAAGTTGAGCGGATGGGTGTGTGAATGAGAGTATGGTAGAGATTCACCTGTGGGCGAGGAGGTTGGAGATGTTGCTGAGTTGCACGGGCAGAATGACAAGTGCTGACACGATGATGCACATCACCACCACCCGCCCTGCTGTGTTGGTCGCCAGAATGTCGCCATAACCCACCGTGGATATCTGGCGAGGAGGGAGAGAAGAGACAGGTGAGAAAGGGGGCAGAAGAAGGAACGATGATGCACATCACCACCACCCGGCCCGCTGTGTTGGTCGCCAGGATGTCACCATAGCCCACCGTGGATATCTGGCAAGCAGCGTGTCGTTTGGAGGAAGCGGGAAGAGGTGTGGTGTGTTGACAGCATAAAGCGAGGCTGGCACTTGCATTGGTTGGTTGCCAAGTTGCCGCCATACCCACCGTGGATGCCTGCTGCTGGCACGTAGCTTTCCATTAGCTGCCATTGCAGGAAAACTCCTTGACAACAACGAAGTAGAGCGACATGGCATAGTCAAGGCAGTTCCCCGGCTCACAGCTGCCCGACTCCTCTCACCCACCCACGTCTCACTCATCCACACTACTCACCCACCCACATCTCACCGTGACAACCACAAAGTAGAGCGGCATGGCATAGTCGAGGCAGTTGACCGGCTCGCAGTTGCCTGTCTCCTCTCACCCACCCACCCCAACTCTCACCCACCCACCCCAACTCTCACGCATCTACCTCTCACCCAACCACCCCCATCTCACCCACCCACATCTCACCGTGACAACAACGAAGTAGAGCGACATGGCATAGTCAAGGCAGTTGACCGGCTCACAGCTGCCTGTCTCCTCTCACCCACCCACCGCTCACAACGAGGTAGAGTGACATCTCACCGTGACAACAACGAAGTAGAGTGACATGGCGTAGTCGAGGCAGTTCACCTGCTCACAGTTGCCTCTCACCCACCCACCCCAACAGTTGGGGCCCGACTCTCACCCATCCACTACACACGCATCCACCTCTCACCCACCCACATCTCACCCAACCCACCCACATCTCACCGTGACAACAACGAAGTAGAGTGACATGGCGTAGTCGAGGCAGTTCACCGGCTCACAGTTGCCCGTCTCCTGCACCTCGGGGTTCAGGTAGGTCACCCACAGGAAGACGCCTGCTGCTGCGAAGACTGCAGTGCGTGAGAGGGCAAAAAGGACGGAGCGCGGACAGAGGGAAGGGAGAGGGAGGCTTCATTAATGCATTCACTTCGGGGTTCAGGTATGTCACCCACAGGAAAACGCCCGCTGCTGCGAAGACTGCAGTGTGAGAGAGTAGAGAGGGTGTGAGGAAGGTGGGAAGGGAGGGGGAGAGAGGGAGGGGGTAGCTTATGCTTTCACCTCTGGGTTCAGGTATGCCACCCACAGGAAGATGCCCGCTGCTGCAAATACTGGAGAACGTGAGAGGGAAGAGGGATAGTGGGCAGAGGGAGAGAGAAGGACATGGGAGTGGGGCGACATGGCATGGTCAAGGCAGTTAACAGGCTCACAGCTGCCTGTTTCCTTCACTGCAAGGTTCTTGTAGGTCACCCAGAGAAACATGCCCAGAGCTGCTTCACATAGCGTCACAGAAACCTAGCGTCTAAGAGACATACTTAGTGAAGTGAGGTAGACAACGAGATTGATGTCCTCCTGTGTGATGGACGTGACTTCCAGTCCCGGCTGCTGCAGGCAGATTGTAAAGGGACACACTTACTGCCTAAGGGACATACTTAGTGAAGTGAGGTAGACGATGAGGTTGATGACCTCCTGTGTGATGGAGGTGATATCCAGGCCCAGCTGCTGTAGGCGTGTGAAGGGCCTGTGAGAGAGAGTGCGGGGGAGTCGGCGAGTGTGAGTGAGTGAGTGTGAGTGAGTGAGTGTGAGTGAGAGTGCGAGGGAGTGAGTTAGTGTGAACAAGTGTGCTTTGAGTCGACTCAAAATACACCTGGAGAAGCCCTGCTGCTGCAGGCGGGGGAAAGCCCTGTGAGTGAGTGTGTGGGAGAGACGGCGAATGTGAATGAGTGTGAGGGAAAGGGAGGACGAGAGGACGGGGAGGGGGGGAGAGAAGGAAGAGAATGGCATGGAAAGGGAGAATGGAGAACGAGAGAGCAACTGAACAGGTTCAGTTGAATGGAAGTGGTAGGGAACATAATCAAGATGAATGAATCATCGAGGGTGAGTCTCACTTGAAGATTTGCAAGAAGTAGACGACTTGAAACACGGTGCTTGCACTCCTGCTGCCGCTGAGGCGGCGCATACGAAATAGGAACGGGAGAGGATGGAGAGATTGCTCCCATGTTAAGAACTGTTGAGTGAGGTGCCTCAAAAAGCAGAGGACGGTCAGAATGCCCCCATGTTAAGAAGATGGTAGCATGCAACCCAGCATGGTCCACACATGATCTGGCATCCGTCACAACTCATGTGAACCGAGGAGCGTGTGAGCAAGGCGAGGGCATGTGAGCAAGGCGAGGGCATGTGAGCAAGGCGAGGGCATGTGAGCAAGGCGAGGGCATGTGAGCAAGGCGAGGGCATGTGAGCAAGGCGAGGGCATGTGAGCAAGGCGAGGGCATGTGAGCAAGGCGAGGGCATGTGAGCAAGGCGAGGGCATGTGAGCAAGGCGAGGGCATGTGAGCAAGGCGAGGGCATGTGAGCAAGGCGAGGGCATGTGAGCAAGGCGAGGGCATGTGAGCAAGGCGAGGGCATGTGAGCAAGACTCACAGGGGGCCGAGAACAGGAACGCCAGATAGGATGTCGAGCATCCCCAGGTATGAGCACACATACAGCCAGCGCACTGGCGCACTGCACGTTGGGGGCATGGGCAGGGTGCGTGAGTGTGTGTGTGTGTTAATGAGGCATGCTTTAATCACAGGGAGCCAGAGGGAGGCAAAGAGCGGATGTCAAGCACCCCCAGGTATGAGCACACGTACAGCCACCGCACTGGCACACTGCACGTGGGAGGAACTATATGCTGCCGGGACTGTATGCTGCCGGGACTGTATGCTGCCGGGACTGTATGCTGCCGGGACTGTATGCTGCCGGGACTGTATGCTGCCGGGACTGTATGCTGCCGGGACTGTATGCTGCCGGGACTGTATGCTGCCGGGACTGTATGCTGCCGGGACTGTATGAGGATGGGGCAGAGTGTGTGTTTGCGGGGAATGAGGCATGCGAGAAACACAGGGAGCCGAGCTTGGGAAAGCCAGAGAGGATGTGCTTAGGGGAAGCAAGCAACATACCTGTAGAGGCGGAGGAGGAAGCAACTTGCCTGTAGAGGCGGAGGGGGAAGCAACTTGCCTGTAGAGGCGGAGGGGGAAGCAACTTGCCTGTAGAGGTGGAGGGGGAAGCAGCTTGCCTGTAGAGGCGGAGGAGGAAGAGCAGGATAAAGAAAACAGAGACGCCCAGGTGTCCCGTTTTCCACGCCACCACCTGCGCCACGGTCTCCCTGGGGGCATGGGCGACAGGCATGGAGGAGGGGTTATGGGCTGGACAAGGTATGGGCGGGAAAAGGCATGGTCTGGACAAAATATGGCCACGAGGGAGTATGGATACTCATATAGTACACTGCACTGTACCTAATTCCGGTGGTGTAGTAAATTGCACCGTACCTGGTTCCTATGATATAATACACTGCACCGATGCAGGCAGCTATGAACTCAGTCTGGAATGCAGGGGAAATGAAGTGTGAGAGAAGCGGGAGAATAAAAGTCAGGGAAACGTGGAAGAAGCAAAGTGAGGGAGGATCGAAGTGGGAGAAAAATGTACAGAGTCACAGCACCCCATGCGGATTTGCTATAGAGTCACAGCATAGGCGGCAATGGACTGACAGCAGTGACGACGAGGCTGATGGGTCCCGAGGTGAGCACGGCTCGCAGGCGACTGGTGAAAGGCACGTCGCCGTACAGCAGCGAGGAGTGGTACAGCGATAGGATGTCCTGGGAGGAGATACGAGAGAGGAAAGGGAGGAGAGGAAGAGAGAATGAGGTGAGCACGGCTCGAAGGCGACTAGTGAAAAGCAGCTCGCCGTACAGCAGGGAGGAGTAATAGAGCGATAGGATGCACGTGGGGGAGAAAAACACGGAAAGGAAGTGTAGTTGAGAAATGTGGCGCTCCGCCGTTAAGACTTGCTCTCTTTGTCACATTCGCCTCTGATATAGGCACACTCACATCACTGGCGTACACCGCCTTATAGTTTCTCTTAAGAATCTTCTGCATCGAATACGGCATTATCGATTCTCCCGGCTTCCTGCCGTTCCTCCGCCTCCTCTCCTCTTCCCGCCTCCCCATGTCCCTGCTTCTATATAATGTCCTTTTCGTCGTACTTCTTTAAATACCTAACTTCAACCTAGACAGGACCGCACAAGCCTAAGGCGATGGCTCCCGTAGTCCACAGTTTTACCCCAGCTGCTTAAAGATTTTGCAAAGATTTGAATTAAAGCTTTTGAAGACTATCTTACTCCTTGTTAAGCCACATCTTGGTACTTAATGGTACCGCTTTGGTACCTACCGCCATCAACAATCTGTTCCAGTACTAGCTGGTTATAAAAAGCAGCGACACAAGCACTATGATAGCCATCCTACGGTCCTTAATATTCTGCACGTCATATTCGTCAAGGTTTACCAAGCGTGAGCTACGACCATGGCGGCTGTGGTAATATCCATAAGCAAGCATAACGAACGACATGTATCGAGAACTGTGAATTGAGTGGGACTTTTTACCAAGCAACGGAACAGCTGGCCCAAAATTTCCATAGCACCCCAAGAGGCGGGAAAAATGGAGGCAAAATGGACCTTGAAATTTGTGAAACGAGACTTCTTGAAATTGTCGGGCGATGCGACCGTGAGACAGTAACGATCGGCAAAATCTTGGGGCTACACCATGAACTTATGCATTCAGTTAGAGAGTGACTTCAGGATATATCTGAACTGTAGTAACTTCTCTTCTCTGGTAATGGATTGCATCATAGCGGGTATGAGATACAGTATTTTTTACGCGAATGTGGCCTCCTGCTTGCTATCCTGATAAGCACCTGAGGGATGCGAGCCGCAGGTGATGAGCCAGAACTGGGGCTTTTCTCTCCCAACACCGTCACCTGCATTGCACATGATGGCTTCGAGGTATAACGAGGTCTATGCGTGGCAATTATATCTCGCGAAAGCTCGCAGAAATCTTGTCAAAGCCCAAAACAACAAAGTTGCGACATGTGATGCCGTGGGTCCTGGTTACTGGATCTGGCGAATGCTCCAGAACCTGAACCTGGGAATGTGGCATGGCGTGGCATAGCATCAGGCGCTGCCATTTGACATGGTGAGCAGTATAGAACTGCCAAAAGAAGCTACCAACTCGCGTCGGCGGCAAAGCTAAGCACCTCCTTGCCCTCCATTCCTCCTCGCCTTCACGCCACAACGCAGGAAACGGAACAGAGGCGAATCGTTATTCACATCGTCATTCCCTAATTTCAGCCAAGGCGACTAAAAGTTCCAGCCGTAACTTTCCTCCGCGGTCTAACAAGCATATGCCCAGACGAGCTCATCTGTCGCCAGACGTGTCGCTCGCTGGCTCGCTCGGCGACTCATTGTGGCATCCATCTGTCGCGCAGATAGTAGACTAGCGAAACATCCCGAGTTAGTGGCCGTTCAGCGCCATCCCGCTCCTTACTACTTCGCGACCCTCGCCACGCAGACCGAGTTACCTTCCTCTCGCCATCCCCGTTTGATGCTCCTCGTCATACATCTCTAGCACCGAACTTGGCTCGGCGCGCAATGCGGTGCCTCGTGCTTCTCTCCGTCGCAACTCTTTTCCTTGTGGCGCGGCCGGCCGATGGCTTCCCTCCTATTACCCAGTATCGAGGCCTCTTCTGGCGGTTTTTGGACGCGATACAAGACGGGCAGCAGTCCCGATACAGTGCGAGCTTGTACAGTAGCGGAAACGGCGTCGATTCCAAAGCTGCGTCCCCGTTCGGCATGAGAGCCGTTCGTGACAACAATTTCACAGGCGCATACGGATCAGCTTACAGCAAGGCAGCGTCTGCTATCGCCACAGCAACGAGCTATATGAACGACCACCTAATCAGACGAAAAACACGTGAGTCTGGTGCATGTTGCTTTCTCCCCCATGCTCTTCCCACAGCCCACACTCACCCTTTTCTTTCCCCGCGCTACACGCACGTGGCTTTACCGCCTCCAATCTCTTCCCAAATCTCTTTTCCAATCTCCCAATCTCTCCCCCTCCGGCCCCAGAACTGTCTCTCGTCCCCCTTCGCCATTCCACCGCTCCGCCGCTCCTCCATTACCATTTCTTCCCTCCGCCCCTCATTCTTCCCCCCCACATTCTTCCCCCCCACCCCCGCCCCCTCCCTCCTTTTTCCCCGTCTACAGAAGACGATACGTTAACTCCTGGCTTCTGCTCCGACTATGAGGGAGCAGTCTATATCAAGGTCTTTACTGTAGACGACATTGCGCGCCGACTGAACTACCCGCGAGCGCGCACCGTCATTTTGGAGCTAAATAAGAACCTCGTTCTCGACAAGGGCCTTCTTTTCGACTCGCGCTACTCGTGCACTGTACTGCGTTCCAACAACATAACGGGGTCGGGATACAGAATCTCTTACTTCGGAGCGGATCAGCCTGTATTGCGGATATGGAACACCAGCAATGTGCTTGTACTGGGAGTGAGCTTTTCCCTCGGAGTTCGCACCTCGTCTCCCGAGTGCGTCGGTGTTCCCGAGAATGGCATCGGGGTAAATTGCCCTACAATACACGTGTACAGGAGTTACGGAATTCAGATTGCGAAAGGAACAGTGTTCGGGCGCATTGACTTGTTTCGATGCATGTCATCTCGAGTAGACTCCATGCGCGTCACGGGAGTTCCCGTGTTCAACAAATCCCCAGGCGTGATTCGCGTCGCCATGAGCGGCTACGGACCCACGCTGGAGAAGTCGTATATCGCGATCACCAATAACGAGGTCTATGGTGAGTCAATCTTCAGCAGGTCAGGCGTCAGGGGATGCAGAGACTCGTGGCGTACGAGCGGTCTAGCAAGGCCTCTTGCCTCTTTCTTCCCTCTTTTCTTCTTCCCTCTCTCTTGCTTCCCTCGTTCTCGCTCTGCAACTCCCCCGCACACACCACCCCATGCGACTACGTACACGACTTCATCTTCACTCCCGCCTTTCCCCCTATCCTTCCCGCCCGTTCCCCCTCCTCTACCAGGCGTCGATACCCCAATCGTGCTCTATCAGGGCGCCATCGGCGTGATAGTGCGCAACAACTACGTGCACGACTTCATATTCGCGGGCATCCGCTGCGGCGCAGACGTGCACTACGCAGCAGACTGCGTGCTCGCCACCATCTCCTACAACATTGTGGTGGCTGCTGGGACTAACCGGTCGGGGGATCAGGACGCTGCGGGCATTTACTTCTGCACGCACTGGTTCAGCCCTGGTGGGTGCTGGCAGGGGTGGTGGTATGGCTGGGTGTGGGTGGATGTGATGTGATCAGTGATCACCACTCTGCCGGACGTGCACTACGCGGCGGACTGCGTGCTCGCCACCATCTCCTACAACATTGTTGTCGCTGCGGGGACGAATAGGTCGGGGGATCAAGACGCGGCTGGCATTTACTCCTGGTGGGTGCTGGCAGGGGTGGTGGTATGGCTGGGTGGGGGTGGACGTGATGTGAGCTCACTGCACTCTGCCGGACTGCGGCGCGGACGTTCACTACGCAGCGGACTGCGTGCTCGCGACCATCTCATGACTAAGAGATCGGGGGATCAGGCCGCTGCAGGGACCTACTTCTGCACGCACTGGTTCAGCCCTGGTGGGTGCTGGTATGGGTGTGGGGCTGGGGAGTGAGGTGGTAACCACTTGGAAATTGGTCGGAGAGAGATTGGTGAGAGGGGCAAGCACTGGACCACTGCCACTACCTGGACGATGTCACCTCTGGTGTCTTGCTGACCTGCTCCTGGCTCAGGCCACATCCTTACGCTGCCTGTTTCCCTGAACGCCCTTTCATTTCGTCCCGATGCAGTGAACCTGGCGGAGTGCAATTACGTGTTCAACGGCGACCAGTGCTACTACCTGGATAGCTGCACGTCAAGCGTCCTGCTGACCTGCTCTCCCTGCATGTCTCCCCCACTGCGTGTCCCGATGCAGCGAACCTGGCCGAATGTAACTACGTGTTCAACGGCGACCACTGCTACTACCTGGACTACGTCACCTCGGGAGTGACGGTGAACGGCGGGGCGTGTGTGGGCACGTACGATGGCATCAAGGTCAACAATGGCAAGTGGTGAGTTGGAGGGGGAGGGGGTGAGGGGAAGGAGAAACGATGGGGAGGCTTTGACAGTAGCAGCATTGGCAATGGAGGGGTGTGGCGGTCAGGCATGCTGGGTTGGTGCACGTGCTTCACGCCCACTGTCACCTCAACCACACTGCACCCCTCTTTCTTCCCGCCTCCTCCCCTCATCCCACCCAGGAACAACGTCGACAACATAATCATCAAGGATGTGTCAGGCATGCCCGGCTGGTGCACGTGCTTCACGCCCAGTCACCTCAACCGCACTGCACCTCACTCTCCTCCCTTCCTCTCCCCTCCCCCTCTTCCTCCTCCCATCCCAGGAATAACATCGACAACATAATCATCAAGGATGTGGCAGGCATGCCGGGCTGGTGCACGTGCTTCACGCCCACCGTCAACAACTGCGCCAAACGCCCTGGCACCTACTGGGAGGCCATGCGGAAAAAGTACTATGACACGCCACTCTTTCGCTCCCAGTGGCCCTGGTGGGATAGTGTCTGCCAGGACAGGAGCATTCGAGGGCAGCTGTGTAATATCGGGCGCAAAGGCACGCTTTCAGGGAAGGAAACCGGGTACTGTAGTGGCCTTCCGACGGATAATTTCGTTCGGCTTATAGTCACCAATGGGACGCGTGATATGGGGTATAAGTATTGTGAGACGCTGCCGACAGTGGAAGCGGGAACGTTCAACCAGCACCAGATGGTGAATCTCACGGATATCCCCTCTGCAGCGTTCTTCGATTACGCGCAAAACGACTTTGGAGTGTACAAGCGCTCGTCGCTGCTCAAGAATCTTCCGAACTTTAAAGCTTGCCCGAGGTGGGCGGTTGGGCCGAGGAGAGTGGACGAGAATTTCTATCTGGCGAATTACAATCACCCAGAGCCGCCCGCATTCCAATTGGTGGTTAACATGCAGACGACGCATATCATTGATCGTGCGCTGCAGGCCTCGTTAAAGTGAGACTTTATACCAGAAGGTGTTGCCGTGGGGATGGGAGGATACTGAAAGGTGATACTTCTTCCGAGTTGTGATAGAAGGCTTCTAGTACAGGTATGGCGACGAGACGACACACATAATTGACCGTGCCCTGCAGGCGTCGTTGAAGTGACACTTGGCAATGGGATCGCATTCAAGTGCAATCGGATGGTGGCGATGGGCAGTGGGTGGGACCCATCCTGAAGCACTCCCACATACAGTACCGTGATACTAGTGGAGCCTGTCCTCAGCGTTTTGGTTTGTAATGTATGAGACTGGTTGTTGAAACTGTTGTGATAGTGTTGTTGTACACTTGGTGAGTGGAAAAATGGACAAATTTGGTCCTGCATCAGGGTGCATGCATTTGTAGCACGTGTCAGACATCAGATCAGTCACGAAGTGGATGTTAGGAAGACCTGAAGGGACTCGTTTTTTTTGTAACGATGCTCATAGTAACAATGCACATAGTAACGGTTGGGCTGAGAAAAGCCCTTAGGATCTTCACAAGGGAGAACTCTGGGTAGGATGATGTTGTAACAGCGGAAGCTTAATGAAAAGGTTGTGAACCACCTTGCGCTGGTATGTGAGGGCAAAGTAGATTGATTATAGCAAGGAAGTACAAGATTATATAATAGTTGGGTAACTCGGCTAACTTTGCTTCTTCCAGCAGCTCGCGAAGATAAAGTCCCTCCTTGGTGGCTGAGCAGAGTGCAATGTATTCTGCTTCAGCTGAAGATAGCGCGATTAACTCCTGCTTGCTCGATTGCCAGGAGATAGGACCGATAGGTTCGAGGCGATAGACGTAGCCGGTGCGTGAGCGCCTGTTGTCGGAGTCGCCGGCGTGATCGGCGTCGACGTAGCCGATTAGCTTGGTTGGTGTAGTTGCGTTCTTGTGATACGTTAGGCCAATCGTCGGGGTACTGATGAAGTAGTGAAGAGCGCGATCGAGCTCCGCCAGGTGCTCTGTTTCGGGCTTCTTGAGGTAGGTAGCGAGCTGACTTGCGGAGTATGAGAGGTCGGGACGGCAGGTAACAGCTGCGAAGAGGAGACATCCTAGTTTCCTCTGATAGTCGCGTACGCCGGCGGGTTTGAGTAAGGTGGGAATTGAAGGCGTTAGAAGAACGCAACACCTGGAAGGTCGTTCCTATCGGCGTAGCACGAAACAAGACCATACTTACCGGAAAATGGGTCTTCCGTGTGAAGACGAAAGCTGACGGCACCATCGACAAGTTCAAAGCACGCTGGGTCGTACGCGGCTTCGACCAGGAGCACGGACGTGACTTCACCGAAACCTTCGCTCCGGTCAGCCGCCACACTTCACTGCGAATTCTCCTCGCGATCGCCGCCATGAAGAAGAAGAAGCTGCGACAAATCGACGTCGCGAACGCGTTTCTCTACGCACCTGTTGATGCAGAGATTTTTGTGGAGCTACCGTACGGCTCCAACACAGATTCCACGCATGTCTGCCAGCTGCTCAAGTCGCTCTACGGCATCAAACAGGCTCCGCGACTGTGGCAACAGTACCTGCACGCTCGCCTCATCCGCATCGGCTTCAAACAACTCCCGCACGATCAAGGAATGTACCGCCTCACGAAGAACGACGACTACGTCCTACTAATCGTCTACGTGGACGATCTCCTCTACATCGGGTCAAATGACGGCATCACTACCTGGTTCGAAGGGGAGCTGCAGCAAGACCTCACACTCACGGTCTCGCCTACCGTCACTCAGTACCTCGGCCTCAACATCCGAGAAGAAGAAGACGCGATCTACCTCAGCGCAGAAAAAAACGCCGACACCATCGCCAAACGCTTCGGTCTCACGCCGGCCGCGATCTCAACACCATACCGCTACACGACAGGAGCCGACAAGGGAAAATCCACCTTACTCAAACCCGCCGGCGTACGCGACTATCAGAGGAAGCTAGGATGTCTCCTCTTCGCAGCTGTTACCTGCCGTCCCGACCTCTCATACTCCGCAAGTCAGCTCGCTACCTACCTCAAGAAGCCCGAAACAGAGCACCTGGCGGAGCTCGACCGCGCTCTTCACTACTTCATCAGCACCCCGACGATCGGCCTAACCTACCACAAGAACGCAACTACACCAACCAAGCTAATCGGCTACGTCGACGCCGATCACGCCGGCGACTCCGACAACAGGCGCTCACGCACCGGCTACGTCTACCGCCTCGAACCTATCGGTCCTATCTCCTGGCAATCGAGCAAGCAGGAGTTAATCGCGCTATCTTCAGCTGAAGCAGAATACATTGCACTCTGCTCAGCCACCAAGGAGGGACTTTATCTTCGCGAGCTGCTGGAAGAAGCAAAGTTAGCCGAGTTACCCAACTTCACCCTGTTCTGCGACAATCAGTCAGCAATTCGCATCGCCAACAAGAACGGCTTCGCGAACAGGACGAAACACATCGCCCTGCGCTACTTCTTCGTGAAGGACGAGATCGAGAAGGGGAGACTCGAGCTGTCCTACTGCCCCACGTCCGAGATGGCAGCTGACTATTTGACCAAGAAGCTCGGAAAGCAGAAGTTCGAGTACTGCATGCTGCTGACTGGACAGAGCCACGTCATCAGCAGCGACACTCCAGAAGCGAAGGGGAGTGTTGGAAACAGTGAATCTTAAGCGCTTCAGTCGTGTCGAAACATCGCACCAGAAGCGAAGCAAGCAGTATTGAAACAAGCGCGAGTCAACCCTCGGAGGTTGAGAGGTTGCTGGAGGTTACGCGAAAGTCAAAGGTCAAGCGACCTTTGACCTGACAAATACAGCGCGACAGTTAAGGACACACAACTGACTCGTTACAGAGCAGTTGCCCGAGTCGTACTGTATCGAACCGCAACAGCAACAGTAAAGTAGTTACAAACTACATCCTCTCATATTCCTTGTATTATTATATAATCTTGTACTTCCTTGCTATAATCAATCTACTTTGCCCTCACATACCAGCGCAAGGTGGTTCATAATTCTTCATTAAAAGCTTCCGCTATTACAACACTACCCTACCCGGAGTTCTCCCTTGAAAAGATCCTAAGGGGCTATCTCAGCCCAACAGTGAACCACCTTGCGCTGGTATGTGAGGGCAAAGTAGATTGATTATAGCAAGGAAGTACAAGATTATATAATAGTACAAGGAATATGAAAAGATACGGTTATAACTTCTTTAATGTTGCTGTTGCGGTTCGATACAGTACGACTCGGGCAACTGCTTTGTAACGAGTCAGTTGTGTGTCCTTAACTGTCGCGCTGCACTTGTCAGGTCAAAGGTCGCTGACCTTTGACTTTCGCGTAACCTCCAGCAACCTCTTCAACCTCCAAGGGTTGACTCACGGGTGCTTCGATAGGGTTTGCCTCGCTTCTGGTGCGGTGTTTCGACACGACAGAGGCGCTTAGGATTTATTGTTTCCAACACTCCCCTTCGCTTCTGGAGTGTCGCTGCTGATGACGTGGCTCTGTCCAGTCAGCAGCATGCAGTACTCGAATTTCTGCTTTCCGAGCTTCTTGGTCAAATAGTCAGCTGCCATCTCGGACGTGGGGCAGTATGACAGCTCGAGTCTCCCCTTCTCGATCTCGTCCTTCATGAAGACGTAGCGCAGGGCGATGTGTTTCGTCCTGTTCGCGAAGCCGTTTTTGTTGGCGATGCGAATTGCTGACTGGTTGTCGCAGAACAGGGTGAAGTTGGGTAACTCGGCTAACTTCGCTTCTTCCAGCAGCTCGCGAAGATAAAGTCCTTCCTTGGTGGCTGAGCAGAGTGCGATGTATTCTGCTTCAGCTGATGATAGCGTGATTAAATCTTGCTTGCTTGACTGCCAGGAGATGGGACCGATAGGTTCGAGGTGGTAGACGTAGCCGGTGCGTGAGCGCCTGTTGTCGGAGTCGCCGGCGTGATCGGCGTCGACGTAGCCGATTAGCTTGGTTGGTGTAGTTGCGTTCTTGTGGTAGGTTAGGCCGATCGTCGAGGTGCTTATGAAGTAGTGAAGAGAGCGGTCGAGCTCCGCCAGGTGTTCTGCTTCG